GGCCTTTTTGGCCACAAGGGCACACTGCTGGCCCGTGGGCAACCTGCTGGCCTTCAGAATACCCACGTTCTGTAAGTACAAAAGTGGGTTAATATTCTTCATAGCTGAGTCTTGTGATGACTGTGGCTATTTGAAACAGGCATCCAAAAAATGTATGTATATAGTTGGGCAATTATCGAAGGCAATTACCACAGCTAAGACAATGAAAATCAAAATCCACCAGACACCTGACTAATGATCAAAGAAATCATGTGATGAAGGGCCAAATATGAACAAGGGCATATTGACAAAAATCAGAGACAAAGTGACTTGCAAACATGAATTTCAAAGGAATATAATTAGTTGTTCCACTCCATCACTGACAATGGCAGTAAGAAGGCACTCTTTCAACTTAGGACTTTATGTCTCCCCAGATGACCACTTAATAGCCTTGCTTTAGTAAATGTACCTTGACTAGTGGCTTTTCCTAAAGGTTTAAACCCTTTGCAGGGCATTGAGGGCATAGAGTGGTATCCTAGGGTACATTAAAAAGAGCACGGCCATAGAGTCAAGAGCCATAGAGTCAAGAGGTTGTTGTTTGGAGCCAGGCTCTGGGCTAAGAAAGAGCGTGGGGCTTCCTGGTATGGTAAACTGGGCCGGAGTTTCCCTGGGAGGTGATGTTAAGCTTGCACTTTAAAAGCTGCAAAATCAACTTCAGCTACTGATGGAAAAAGTCTGTTTCCAGGGCTTTTTTGAGAAGTGACAAACAAGTCTGCCACCTTCTGGTGAATTCATACGTTTACTTGATGTCAGTTCTAAATCAGGAATTGTCCAATTTTCCATTGTAACTGCAGCACAATCTCTAATTTTCAAAAGTACAGCCAAAGACAGCTGATACACGATGCAGGTGCAATGCTGATGATTTTGCTTTTGCCACTATAAGTAGCAGTCAGCAAGCAGGAAAACCTTGCCAGCAATCACCACAAAATACAGCATAAGTAAGTAACCAGGACTTCTATCTCAGCACAGTACGATGGCAACACTTCAAACACAGGGGCAATATTTTGGTGGGAAGTTCCATTCAAAATCTTGAATCTTGTTTTATTTTAAAGCTATGTGACTAAGTGACCTCCAAAGCTTTACAGTTTGCTTTCACTGTATAAAATCTGTTGCTTACTGTCTATTTCAACTTCATTTTTGTCGACAGTATATGCATGGCTACTGCTTTAATGAAAGTAGCCACCAAAAACTGAGGCCAGGCTAGCCTACAGACTCACACATTCTCTCTGAGGAAACATACATATGTACTTACAAAAGCATAACTTAAACAAGTTTTGCTACCAGAGACTCTTGGTGAATTCCCTCCCTGCCTCTCTTGCCACTTTCCTGGTCATTCTTAAGTAATTATTTGCATATATGAGTTTAATCTGTAACTTCTATTGTTTATTCATCAGTTTTATCTACCAGGGTTGCATTTTGATTGATCAAAGGGCCCAAATTGCTACTGCTTTCCCTCTGGCTCTCTAGCAGACAGAAAAGTTGAAAAGCATATGCAGTATAAATACCCCAGAGTATGCACTTCAGAAATGAATGACCAGTGGATAAAAGAGTGCAGTGAGGGGGTAAGGAAGTACAAGGCTTCCTTTGACTCCAACACGTGCTCCTGGCCCAAGCTATAGGCAGGACACTGGTTAGGCTACAGACCTCATTTAACAGGGTGCCATCCTGTTTTAAGCAGTTTGCTGGTGACTCTGCTCTGTGTAGGCTGATGCTCCACTCAGCTGGCAAAATATATTCACGAGGCACAATTTCGTTCTGTGTTCTGCTGGTAGCAGGTTTAATACTCCATTACTTTCCTTTAATTACTCCCCTATCTCAGAATAATGAAAGTGTTAAAACATGTGCCAGCTGCTACAGTTCCTCTACCCATCTTGTTCCATCACAATAAACAAATATTGTTTCCTTTTGCCAGCAGCTTTCAGAAACTGATGCTAAAACATTTTACCTGTCGAAATGATTCTTCTTCTTGATCCTCCAGGACAGTATTCTCATCAAAATCAATTACACGATCATACATTTGTAAGTTGTACTCCTTCCAAGACACCAATCCATCACCATTTTTGTCATAGTCGTGGAAGTGTTGCTTAGCTTCTTGCGTAACGTAGTGTTTAAATGACTGCTGTATCCAGGAGCTCAGCTCATCTGTGAAAAACCATTAGAATGAACAAAAAATCAGAATAACCTATCTTACAAAACCTGCAAAGATAACGCAGGTCTACCTGGTCTGGAATGCACTTTACAGTTCAGATGCAAGGCAAGAGACTGGTGAAAACAAAGCAACCTGCTTCCTCTGGGCTATGCCCTTTTTTTGAGTTAACTGAGTGAGAGAACAGATCACAGCTACCCCTTTCAGCTTCTTCTGTAGGACTGTTTCCCTGCTGATACCCACAGAGGCCAATGACATGGTTACTTCACATTGGATTATGCTGGTGCTGCCAGAGAAAGTTTAATGCACCCATCTGACACACAAGGGAAGCAGCAGCAAGAAATGATTTGAGAGTGCACGCATCACTAAAACTTATCCTATAAGGAAGGTTCTTTGTTTTCAACCGAGCAAGTGCCCTGACTTCAGGCTCACTGGGCCTGAACAACACGGTCCTGCCCCTTTTGATGGCTGCTGGAGTTAGGTCAGCTTGACCCAAAAACATTAACAAGGATTTTTCTCTTACTAGGAGCTGGAATCAAACCTTACATACTTTGGGAACGCTTTGAAGCTACTTGATTTTATAGAAACGTGGCTAAAACAAGTTAAGCTTAGCATACAGATAGTTTCACACTAATACATTCAAGTTCTTGATTGTATAAAGATTGGAAGAAGGTATTTTCTTGGTCTCAAGCAGCTATTTTCAGGCGCCCAGAAGGAGATGGCTGGAGTGTATTACTGTGTCCTCCCATGTTGGAGTGCCAATACATCTTTATTAGGTTTATTTAAGCATCTTCGTACAGCAACAAGAGATTTTTCAACTATATTCTGCATACTAAATGTGCGGCACCAAAGGAAACAACTTTGTAAAAGATTGTCTGAATTGATTAAACACAGGGGGGCACGGATGCCAAGTGCACAAAACCACCACTGCCTACAAGACCTAACGGAGAAACTGCAATGCAATTTATCACAGACGGCGGCATTACTGATAGGGCAGGTAGTTATTTCCCAGCTTTAAGCACCGAGTCCAGTGCCGTTCATCAGACATACTGCTGATTATTGAATCATGGAAGGGACCCATAAGGTCATCAGGTCAAAGCTCCCTGGGCTTACATCTTCTCTGTCTGCCTGCAAACGAAGTGCGCCGATAAGCAGAAAGATCTCAAGGAGTGCCTAATGCTGGGAACAGCTGGGAAAGCTCCATCCCCCTGTGCTTCTCGGTGTAAAAAGGCATTCCCCTGGGACTTCGGGAAGGGAGGGGAAAGCAAGTTTTCATCAGCCTCAGCACCAGGTGCCGTGCATTTCATCAGGGCAGCGTACTGACGGCACTGACACACTTCACAACATCAGAGCCCTTCCTGCTGCGCGTGCTGGAGACCAGCAGCCCCAGGTCTCCTTTCGGAAGGCATCTGCGCGATGCTGCCCTCATCTCACGCCATGGCTTCTCCCCGCAGCGAGGCGCTTTGCTGCCCCGCGCTACGGCGGTGTCACAGCGCGGCTCTGGGCTCGGATCTGTGCCAGCCGCTCTCGGTGCGGAGTCGTGCCGTGTACAAAAGCCACGTTCTGCCATCTGTGGCACGTTCCGGCACGACGTCTCTCTCGGGACATTCTTTTTAGCGGACGATCCCCGGAGGAGCCGCCGCCGCTCCCAGGCCCCGCGATGCGCACAAAGCCCGGACCCGCCCGGTCGCCCCGCCGTTACCCTTGCTGAGCAGGCCGTCGTTATCCGCGTCGATCCTCCGCACGATGGCCTTCAGCCGCCTCTGCTGCTCTTCCGGACTGAGCCGCGCGTACTCCTCCGCCTCCTCCTGCGGAAGAGGAACCGCGCATCAAAACCGCCTCCCGGATCGCTCGGCTCGACCCCCGGCCCCGCCGCCCACCTGCCCTCCTAGCAACGCCTCCCGGTCGTAATCTGCTCGGTGCTGCCCGTACGCCGCGTCCAGCGTCGCCAGGACCGCGGCCAGGCCCAGCGCCAGCAGCGGCCGCCGCCGCATCGCGCCGCCGAGGAGGGGAGCGCGCTGAGGGGCGGGGAAAGGAAAAGGGAAAGGGGCGCGGCGGGGGTCCGCAACGCCGCCTGCGCGCGGCTCGGGCCGGCAGGACCGCGTGCTCCCCCTCGTGTCCGGCGCTCCCGTTGTGCGGTGCCGGGAGTCCGGGAGTCCGCGCTTCGGACGGCGGGGGATTTCGGCCGTCTGTGGCTGGAATGGAGCGTCTCGCTACAGCAGAGCAGAGCCGTGCGGGACGAGGCTCCCAAACAGCGCTGCCGAGCGAGCGGGCGAGGTGCGGCGGTACGGCTGAACGGAGACGTGGGGGAAAAACGGGCTGCAAAGAGAGCGGGGCTTCGTCTGCCGCCCCGGAGAGCCGAAAACGTGCCCGGCCATGCGCCCGCGCAGGTCCGGTTCATCACCGATAGTGGTTAATTGAGGTTTGCCTAGGGCTGCCGTTGGGTTTGATGCTTCTCCCTGAGAGAAGAGCGTGTTTCTGTCACAAGTCCCGGCACAGATCGCCCTGCGGCATTTCAGGCTGTGCAGACACGGCAGACCTATTTTTGTGTCAGTGTCCGAAGGACGAGGAACGCTCCCCGCACCCGCTCTCGTTCCGAGGCAGCACGGAGCCGCCCGCCCAGCCTTTCACCGCACGGAACGGGGCGCCGCGCCCCGCAACGCGCCTCAGGGCTCAGCAGCGCCCCCCGGCGGCGGGCGGTGCGGCAGGTGCACGAACGGCGGCTGGAGCGCGCCGCGGGTGGGCAAGGTGAGGGCAATGCCTTCACCGGTGCGGGCGGCGCATGCGCGACTGAGGGGGGGGGGGCGGGCGCGGCGCGCGGCAGCGGGCGGACGGGCGCTGGCGGCGGGATGCGATGACATCACCGCGGCGGGACGCGCGCGGGCGGGACGGAGCGGCGCGACGGAGAGCGTGAGTGCCCCTCGGCGCGGGGGAGGGGCGCGGCGGCAGCGGGCGGCGCGGGGCGCGGTGGCGAGGCAAGATGGCGGCGGGCCAGCCCTCCCCTCACGCCCCGCGGCGCCGGGCCCCGGGCGCTGCTCACAGCCGCCGAGCCGGGCCCGCGGCCTGCCCCGGCTGCCGAGTGCTGAGCGGGGCCGGGAGCTTGGTTGCCGTGGCAACCGGGAAGCCCGTGCCGGGTGTCAGTCAGCCCGTTCCGTGTTCCGTCCGGGCTGCGAGGCTCCCCGGCGTTGTGCGCCCGGCTGTGTGTGAGGCGGCTCTGAGTGCTGCCGGCTGCTCCAGCCCTGAAACCACGCGTTTCGTTTTACTCCTGCGTGGCTGCAGTAACGCTGAAAGATTTCGGTGAACCTATAAATATTTAACCCCACGTATTTCTCCGCTTTTGGCTGCGGGTCCCCAGTCCAGTACTTGATGAAAAACATGTATTTTATTATAGCTGTCTTCTGCATGAACCCGTTTGGGTTTTTTTAGTGACCTAACTAATTATCCCACAGAGATTTTCAGCACCTCTGATTCGTTTTGACGAATTTGCCCGGTACTGTCACAAGAAACCTTGCTGTTGGTGCCTTCCCCTGTTCCAGAGCAATGTGCTTTGTACCGTTTGCTGCTGTAATACGTGTCAAAATGCGCTCCTTTGGGTGAACTTTGCTCGTTGTACACTCATCATTGGAGCACCTCCCTGTGAGGACAGGCTGAGAGCTGGGCTGTGCAGCACCAAGGGGAGAAAGCTGTGGGGAGAGCTGAGAGCAGCCTTCAGTGCCTGGGGGCTGGGTTGTGAGAAGGAAGGATTGGACACCAGCAGGATCGGTTTTGGCAGTACAAGGGGAAATGGTTTCAAACTAGAAGAGAGGTGATTCAGATTGGATGTAAGGAAGAAGTTTTGTACACTAAGGGCTGCCCAGAGAGGCAGTGGTGCCCCGTCCCTGCAGACAGCAAGGTCAGGCTGGGGGCTCTGATGTGCTGTGTGTGTCCCTGTGCACTGCAGGGGTTGCACTGATGGCCTTTAAGGATCTCTTCCACTTTTAGGTTGCTTTTTTTTTTCCTGTAGTGTCAACCTCTTTTGATTTTCTTCTTGAGCTGCTTTTAATATGGAGCCAATTAAGCACTTTACAGATATAACTGTCCTCTGAAAACATTACCATGTTCATCAGATGTCCTTGTCATAAATGTTGCTGGGAAGCTAAAACTGACTGTGTTTGTTCTGACGCAGATATGAAAGCTCAATGGGGTCGTCCAAAAATGCAATGAATGAGCCTGCTGATGCAGAAGAAGGCTATAACGTGATGGTAGGTTCAGATACTGTAACACTGTACTGAGGTTTTTCCTGCTGCAAGAAACTTTTTTTTGCGTTGGGATTCGTTAATGAATATTCATTTGCACCTTCTCTGGAAACTGAATCTATCAACACGATTATGTGAATTCTTGAAAATGCTGAAATAACTTCTGCTTTCCCTTTGTTACTTCTTTACACATCCCATGAGAGTTCTACTCTGTAAATGGAATAAAGAAATGAATCCTGTTAAAAAATATACTCAAGTCCTCTGGTTTCCCTGGAGTGTTCCAAAATTAGGACTCCCCTGCTCATTGTCATGCATGCCGTCCTCCCTATCAGGCTTGCCCCCCATACATGTGAGCTTGTTAGCCATGGACTGTGATGTGAGCAGTGGGGCAGAAAACCTCGAAACAGAAGAGATGCAAAAACCTTTGTACTGTGAAATTGTGGGTTTTGATACCTGCATTAAAGGACTGCTGTACAATGGAGTATTGCAATCATGAATGTTTTCTTTTCGTAAGAACTTCTAAGGGAAAAATGCTGTTCAGACCAAATTCTGTTTCAATTAAAACAAAACTACAAGTTCCAAAGTTCCCAACTTTTGTTTGGAAATTGTCCCAGTGTATTTTACTGCAGGATTGTTTTGCTCTGCACAGATAAGTGTAAAGAACAGCTGTGGTATTACAGAGAGTCCTGGGTGCAACACGAGAAATTCTGGGTATGTGGTAGAAGGAGGTGGCTCTGCTTTTGGGAGCAGACATTTGTGGATTGGATTAGGCCTGTGGAAGCCTGCTGTTCTGTGCCTATGGAAAGAGTGCTAATTTCTGTGTGATGTTATGACATATTTGCTGTGATTATATCCTTAGTAATGAAAAGATAACATTGCAAAGAAATAAAACCCGTTTGTCATTTTGATACATTTAAACGGGATTAGCATCATCTATAGGATACAGATAATCTTACTGAGCATGGAAAATGACTTCATTGAAGTGTATCTGCTCTTGGGCACTGTATCTCAACGAAAGATAGGAACCAGTTGAAGACAATCTTGAAGAGAAACCCCTCAACACTCAGATTCAGTGAATATGTAATCTGTGATGTGGAAAATCTGAGAAAGAAGACTGAAGGGTGTTCAGCTTGGAAAATGAGAGGGCCAATGGAGGATGAAATGAAGTGGAATGCCAGCATTAAAAAAAAAAATGGGAAAAAGAATTCAATTGGGTTTTCAAAGCCCTCTGTGTATAGCAGGAGTGAGCAGGCTCGTGGTGTAGGAAAGCTGTGGTTCAGTGTTGCATGGATTGTGCAGAGTGAATGTTGTCTGGATTGAGAATCCATGAAGGATTTGCCTACTTATCCCTTTTTGACAGCAAGTTGTGATAGATGAGATCTGCTTCTAGATAAGGTTGCTACGGTTTGAGGATACGTGAATACAAAATGCAGCCACATCTCAGAGACAGTTCAGATAAATCAAAACCATTTAACTCAGTTGTGAAGGTTCCACAAGCATTTGCATCACTGGTTTAATGCAGCAGTTTAAGTTGCTTTTAAAACAATTATGTGAGAGTTGTGAGTCTTTAACTTGTAGGTCCAGGGTGTAAGTTTTATTAACTTGTTAAGTTAAGCAACAAGGAGAGAAAAAACAAGCTTTATTCAACAGCAATGGGCAATCACTGAAATTTACTAAAGAGATGAGCTATTATATTGAATAAGAATAGACTAAAACCAGGTTAGTATAGACCCTGTTGATTTCTCTGTATCAAACTGTATTATTTGGTGTTTTGGTTTTGTTTTTAAACAAGCATGTTTTTAGACAGCTCTCTTCCATAGTTCTGCTGTGGTTTTGGTTGTTTGCTCTCAGCATGTCGCATGGTATGGTCTCCAGGTGGTCAGTGGAGCACTAGATGGCACACTGTGGCTTTGAAACAAGCATTTGAGGACACCCAAATGAGAGAAACGTAGTTATTGATACAAGCATTCAAGTAATCGCAGCTTTTTGTTTCTACTGCATCTCCTACCACCCTGAGGAATTACAGCCACTCCTCTGCTGTACTCGTTTTCACTGTATTTGCTTTCTGAAGATGTGCTAGTAGCATAACACAAAGGTTGCATGCTTGATGGCAAGGGTGAAAAGAGGAAAAGGTGTCTTCTGACTGCTGCTACAGAAAATCAGCGTATCGGTGCATAAAGGAATGTTTACATCTACATAACTTACTTGAGGTTATGTTTGTCAGTGTTAAAGTGGTTTTGCACCACCAGTGTATATAGACTTTGCATTACTGTGTGTAACTTGGCTCTGTTTCACATCACTTTCTGAGCAATAACTGTGCACAGTTTAGAAGAGGAACGACTTCATCCAGTTGAGGTCTGTCAGCTGATACATCTATTTCTTAATATGTTTGGTTTCTAAGATCTGGTGATGTTATCTTTTGTCACTGCAAAGAAATGTATTTCCTAGGTGAATTCCTCAGTGCTTCTCATGTTGTCTGTGAACAGCTGCAGCTTTCTAGAAAGAACAGCTGGCTGTAGTTGCCAGGATGTGCTTTCTAGCTTCTTGTCTTCTCAGTGAAACAGAAGTGTTTGTTTTTTAAATATTTGTAGGTGAAAGTAATGCCTCCTATTTATTTCCATGGAAACTACAACATATACAAAGACACGATAACGCTATTTTGATAAAGGAAATTCTCACTGTTTTTCAGCATAGTCACCACCCTATGCCACTCTCATGAAAAGCATCTGTACCAGTGGAGGTGACCACTTGGTTCTTCAGGTTCTTCTCAGCTACCCAGCACGTGCATTTTGGTCTCACACAGCTTTTGTCCTTAGTTCTAATTAACTCAAAGAATGTCAAACGTTTTAAAGTCTAATCTGATGCTCTTGCTGGACAGGCCATCAACTAAATGAAAATTAATATAAGTGTGGTGTAGGCCTACCTGTTCTGAGGACTGGGTAGAAACTCCTGTGTTCTACTGGCCAATCCCTTTGCCTGCCATGTAGATAAATGTGAAAATATATTTGTGTTCTGAATAGCTGGTAAAAATATACTAAGTGTGAACCCACTTGGGTTTAGCCACATGTTGGATAAAATGTCCAGGTGTCAACACTACACGTATGTATGTATGTATGTATGTACACACATATAAACGTGTTTTCCATTCCTGCATTTCTTGTTTTCAGGCTTCTTTCCAGCGCTCCAACAGCCATGACAAAGTGAGGAGGATAGTTGCAGAAGAGGGACGTACAGCCAGGAACCTGATTGCATGGAGCGTCCCTCTGGAAAACAAGGATGATGATGGTATGTTTGTAGCTGTCTTCCCCCAGCTTGTTTTGCACCTGGCCCCTAAAGCAGTTCATTGGAGCTGCTTCCATGGAATCACGTTCCTGTCGTGGGATTTCTCTGTTTATAGAAGGGATAATGTTTAGCGTCCATGCTATCATTTTTGGATTTGTTGTTTTTCAAAATGCACAGCCTTCCATTGGCTGATCACTGTATAAAACAGAGCAGTGACAGATAAAAAAAACCTACTTTTTATTCTGAAAACAGGCAGGTAAATTTGTACTGTCTTGCTGATATCACTGAGATAGCAGTGCAGTATAATAATCTTAAGATATTGAGCTTTGAGAAGGTTGTTAAAAACCAGTCTTACCTAACTTGGGGTTTAAGATTGGAAGGGATGTCTTAGTGCCACCCCACAAAGTACTTCCATGCACTCTAAAACAAGCACGTTTGGTAGTTTCTTGTAGTATCACCTCAGTCTGTATTAAACATCTGCAAAGAACCTTAAAGCTGCCCCTGTGCATCCCCTTTCTTAACGTGAATCCTTAGAACTGTTTTGTTATTGTTGTGATTCTCTCTTGTGGACTTCAGAAGCCAGGAATTGACTTTCAGTTTTCATACTGCTCAAACTGTTTCAGATGTCAGACTGCTGTCTTTGTGAGGACCTCATCTCACGTGCTTTTGTAGTTCACTTGTCCTTTGGAGCTGCTGCTGCTTTTAAGATTTGGGCAGGAGTGTCTAAAAGCTTTTGGTTTGTTCCGGTTTTTTGAATGTGAGGGGGGTTGAACACTGGGATGGGTTCCCCAGTGAAGCTGTGGAGATGCTCAGAACCTCACTGGGTGTAGTCCTGGGCAACCTTCTGTCACTGATTCTGCTTTGAGCAGAAAGGTTGGACTGCATCTCCAACTCATTCCAACCCCATCTGTTCTGTGATTTTGCCAGTGGAGATGATGTTTCTATGAACAGTTATGGAGAAGATCACCTCTTTCTAAAGTAAGCTGAAGCAAAGCTTGAACTGTCTTCTTGGGTTGCATTTCTGCACTGAGGTGTATCTGTGAATTTTCTTTCATTTTAAAACTGAAATATCTGAAGTCACAGGAAAGAATGAGGTGCATGAAAAGCTACATAGCTGTTTGTGCACATGTAGGTTTCATCAAGGAAAACTCCTGTTCAGAGCACGTACCTGTTCTCTTAACAATGACAAGTGGAATGATAGAAAGCTTATATTGAATAACTAAACATTCACAAGCTTTGGTTTCAGGTTCTGACTCCAAAGTAAACATCAGCATTGTCCCAGCTGTCTAAATTTGTTGGATTGCTTTTCCAAAGCAGGAGTTTTGTGTGGTGGGATTTTTAAGCTCCGAGTGGTCAGCAGTGAAAGATGTGCTGTGAATCTTTGATAGGTACATGTAACAAGGAAAAATGAAACAGCAGCCAGTTGTCAAAGAATCACCAAGGTTGGAAAAGGCCTCCAAGATCATCCAGTCCAACCTACCACCAATATTTCCCAGTGAGCCACATCTCATGTTTCTTGAGCACCTCCAGGGTCGGCGTAGCAGAAATGCAAGTCATGGCTTGAAACAGTGATTGAGCACCTGGTGGGAGGGCAGGGCCAACCTAGGGGAGCTCAGGTGTATGCAATACACATGAGTGACTGGAAGGGCTAGAGCCAGGATCCACCCCTGGGTCCACTGCCAGACCTCATTTAAGCATTGGCAGTGGAGGCAAGGGGGTCTTGTTGGAGTTTCCTGTGTACCTGAGGCCTTCCAAGGGTAAGCAGGTTTTTTTTTTTCTTCTCTTTGTTTCTGTGTTCGAAGCTGCTGCATTTGAACATGTCCTCTCTTGCTGCAGCCTAGGTCTTTGCTACCCCTCTGTTATTGCTGTGCTTTCTGTTGTGTTACAGTCAGTGACTCCAGCACCTCCCTGGGCAGCCTGTTCCAGCACCTGACTCTTTTCTCTTGGAGAAATATTTTCTGACATCTAACCTGAATCCTCTGGTGCAACTGAGGCCATTTCCTCTCTTCTTATTGCTAGTTACATGGGAGAAGAGGCTGACCCCCACCTCACTGCAACCTCCCTTCAGGCAGTTGTAGGGAGCAGTAAGGTCTGCCCCCAGCCTCCTCTTCTCCAAACTGACCCATCCCACCTCCCTCAGCTGTTCCTCATAACTCCTGTGCTCAGACCCCTCACAGCTTGCCTTCTCTGAACACAAAGCTTTGGCGCCCTTCTCGTGAGGAGTCCCAAGCAGTCAAGCAGTGTGTGGCTGGTTTCTTATTTTTGATCAAGGGGAAACAAATAAGGTACTGTGCTTTTGTTTTAGCCAAAGTAGAAGGATAGAAAGTGAGAAGAAAAAGGTAATAGTTTAAGACACAACCATAATCTGCTCAAGTGAAGCACACACAATAGAACACTTTGGGATAACGTACTGCAGCTAGTCTGCTTATTATCATGAGTCCATGGATTTTTTAAGAGGGCCAGTTTTGCATTCTTTTGGCAGCTTCATTTGTATCTGTCTCCAGAAGGTGCATTTATCTATTAGCTAGTCTTGCAGTGGCTTGTGTGTTCTTGAGTATGGTGGTAGATCCACTGATACTACTGCACTGGTAGTACATGACATCTAAGCAGGGAAGATTGATAACTGTATTTTTGGGCAATGAAGGAGTTTATGGGAAAGGAACATAGAATGTATTTGAGCTACTGGTGAGTTGGTTCAATTTTTATTTCGAGTCTGTACCTTTTTAGCTCTGCCTTGCTTGTAATATTATTTTACAAAGCTTTGTGTGTGACGTTTTCCTGGAAAATGAGTGAATTAGAGTTGTCTCTGAGTTTTCTTCCAAAGCATGAAAAATGAATGTGGAAATGAATCATTGTCTTTTGTTAGATCGTTGCCTTTAAGGAGTTGTTATGCATGATACTGAAACCCCGGTGGCTGTGGTCACTTCCTTCTTTGGGCCCTAAAAGGCCCCACTGTAATTGTCACACTTTTTGCCAGTGGAGAGTTCTTTCCAAAACCTCTCCAGTAAATGGTGAGCTGGTAGATTTTATTTTTTCTTTTTCTGCACAAAGGATCTGGTGCTAATTGCTCAGTGGAAACATGCCCTGTAGAAAGGAGCTTCTGGCTGCTGAGAGTCTGGCAGAGCCAGGTCCTTTATCTCTTGACCCTTGTCTTGGCACAGAGGGTTTGTATGTCAGTGAGCCATGATTCATTTTTTGCTGATCTTTCAATATGTATTTCGTCCCCGAGGAACAATACAGCAATATTATGAATTAGGACAGTTTGTACTTGTTCAGGGGCTGTGTAAATCAGGCCAAAGGTTCAGGTTGCCTGAGCCAGTCTTGCATCCCATTTGTACAAGCAGCGTTCTGTCTTTGTGCACCTTTTTTTCTGCTCATAACATTCAGAGGTTTTGCACTGGCAGCAGTAGTGTGTGATTTAACACTTTGTATTAGGAACTGTTACTGGTCATGAGGATGTTTTTCTGCAGAAACAGTGAGTGTGTGGAAATCCCTAGTATTAGTGCTATAGAGAGCTGTTAAATTTAAAATACTGGATTCATTTTTTTCAGTCTGTGCATCTTTGCTTTTCCTCTTTTCTTGTTTTGTTCTGTTTCTTTTTCCTCTTACCATTTAACTTTTCCATTAGGAGACTCGTATTTTATGCAGAAGCCATAAGAAAGCAATCATGATATGAACTGCAGCCCAAACTTTCTAATTCCCTAAGGGAAATACCTGTTTCCTGTCAGTAAGAAATACTGCCATAAAAAGGAGAGCAGTTTCTGGAGTGGTAGGTAGCAGTTGTGCTACAGGTTTTGGTGTGGTATGTGCCCTTGTTGTGTCAGATCTGAAATCCTGCCTGTGTGCAGAACAGTGACATAAGAAAATCTACCTGGAGCTAAACACAGTGGCACCTATTTGGAAGGGGCATTGATTGATGATACATTCAATTTGTTGCAATTATGGTATTCCTCCACAGAATTCATTAACAAGCAGCAGGTTCTGTTTTTTGGGATAGGCTAACAGTACAGTTGACTGCATGCTGGGAAGAGAGAGGGTGCTATAACTGTGAGTAATGCGGCAGTCTGATATTCTGTCTTCAGAATTAAACTGCTTTATAACTTTGAGGAATGTCAAAAATTGGAAAGTCTTGTTTGTAACCATTCCCTTTGTGTTTCTTATTTAAAGTCATTTGGGTTCTAGCCACGTAAAATTCACGCAATAGATTGAGAATCTCAGCATAAGGAAACACAATTTATTGATTGAAAGGTCGCTGGCATACTTGAGCAAGCCTGCAGAGTAATCAGCTCCTTTAGCAAGAGCTTGGTGAATAAATGGATTTTGCAGTATGTGTGAAGGAGATGGAACTTGGCTCTCTGTGGCAAGTGAGGAGGTGTAAGAGTCATGACTGAAAACACTGTGGGTAAGCTTGAGCAACACAGAGCTGAGTGTAGCTGGCACAGTATGGTACGAAGGGAAAGCTATTCTTGAGGACTTGTAAGTTACAGTTCTTGTATTTCATTCACCTGTGTGGCAGTCCAGTCCAGTGCTTCCTCTGAGCAAACATCTTTGCCTTTCTTGATATAAACTCCCCATCTGTGCAGGAGTGTTGCTTAAGACAGGCAAGTGCAGCACTGGAGCTAGTAAAATGGGCTCTGCAGCAGAGACAGCCTTCTGTAGGGATGTGAGACAGGGGAGGTGGCAAAGCCCATTTCTCACAGTGTCAGTAAAAGCTGGGGGGGATCAAAGAACCATGATGGTGTCCACAGATTCCTTTAGAGAGGTGAAAACAAATTCAGTCCAACGTTGTTTCGGTTAAAGATCAGGCGATAAATGGAGGCCAGGATACGTAACCAAGGTTGGGACCTGCCTCAGTGGGAAGAGAAGTGACTGCTGCTCTTTGGAAGCAGATACAACGGTGGTAGTGGCATTTCTCTCATCAGTAGAACTACTTGAGGAGAGAGCCGTGAGGGATGTTGGCTGATAGTTTTTGAGATTGTTAGTATAAAAGAAAGCTTCTGAAAATAGTTTATCAGTAGCTTTTTTTTCTTGGAGATATGAATGCTTCAGCATTTTGAGACAGGAAGTCTTCACAAATCACAAATCCAGCGTGTTTCATATCTAATTACCAGACACGGAGGAAATGGACTTCAAGCATAAAATATGCCTGGCTCCCTGAATGCTTCAAAACTTTGCTGCTTTCTATATTTCATATTGACAACTTAATAGCTAACAGGATGGTCATCTTTTGTCGCTGTTGTTTCCATAAAACTCAGTGAATGCCACAGGTAGTGCCCTTCGTGTGCCATTGCTGTGTCCCAATGCAGTGCCAGTATCGTGGTGCTACACGTGCATCACCAGGGAGCAGCGGTGTGTCACTGCTCGTCAGCACAGAAGCAGAAAGGGTGACAGGAAGGAAGCAGGAAGAAAATGAGAAAAGCTTGAAAATGTGGCTGCTTATCGGAGGCAAAACTTTCTGGCCTGTACACTGAAGGCATTGTTGATTTAAAAAATGGTCATTACCACCCAGCATTTACTTTTCTGCAACACACAGTGCTTATGTGAGTTTTCTTGTCTCTGTGTCTGCCTCCTGTAGGAGCACCTGAAAGCTGCTCTTATGCTTGCAGGTGACTTGCTCAGAAAGTTCCCAGTTCTGAGGAGTGGATTGGTATTTTGTGTTTTGTAGAATCTAGAGATAGCAACCTTCTTTCACCCATCATCTACCCTTTTTCCATTCCATTGTGCCCAAGCTGGTTTGTATCTCTTTTCCCTGGACAAGTTCTGTGTACCACTGCACTTGAAATCTTTTTGCAGAATGTAGAAGATCTTGGGTTGGAGACCTTGGTGACTGAAATATTGCTGTGACTGTGACAGAACTGATGCACAGTTAAAGCTTTTTGGTAGATAGGAAGTTGTAATACATCTGGTAGCTGAATCAGCTTTTCTCTGGAACGCTGCTAAATTGATTCCAATATATTAATTTGTACCTGTTGTTTTGGCTAATGTAACATTTTAAAAATGAATTATCTAGCAAATACTTTTAAATTTGCCTTAAAATTAAAGGTCTTGTTCCCTCCAACAGGCAGTGATGCAAACCAGCTGTACAACTGCTTGATTAAGACAGGCTTACAGCTGCTCTACATAACCAGAGCAATGTAGAACAGCTGGGCTGTGTTAGCAAATTTGGCTTAAGTACTGCTAAAGACAGAACTGAGCAGTTCTGAAATTCAAGAGCCATTTCCCTGGTCTGTGAGGGAGCTGTATGCAATTAATACATTTATTTGCATGGCTTCATCAAGATAAATATGTTGAAACTTTTACTTAGGTGTGGATCTGTGCTAGGCAGTACTCTTGCCGTAGTTACAAGTGAATATTCTGAGAAACATATTCCTCCTTTTAATTCTGTAATGATACTTGATATTATGGAACAGTTATTGAAGGTATTTTGCAGTTGGCATGGAAAAGTAGTGTCATATTTGCCATCTCAGTTGTAACTGTCTGATTTTTCAGAGGCGCTGCCCATTTGCAGGCACTTCTGTGCTGAAGGAAGCCTGCAGTTTTTTGTCTGTCTTTGTAATTTCTTTTTTGTGCGTCTTCTGGCATCGTCCTCATGCTGAACTGTTGAATGTAAAATTTTATTAACCTTTTAACTCATTAATTGTGCCCATATCAGTGCATTGCGAGATTGGATATGTGATTTTTAAAGTGCTGAATCTAATCAGAAGCATTATGGTTTTATTAAAATGCTTCTCCTGCAGGGAAATCCAAATGGCAAGCTGGTGGAAAAGCAAAGACGGTGTCTCAAGGGAAACACAAGGCAGCAAAGCAGGTATCTACTCATTTTTGTCTTAAAATTTGCAGCATAAAAATGTTTTGCAATACTGTTGATGCATTATTTGCTGAAGAATATTTCTATAAAAGTATACCTGTGTTGTATTTGTAAAGGATACAGGCCTCAAAATGGGGTTTAAAAATGACACAATTTAGTCTGTATTCCTCAGCTTCTCTTTTTTGTCATTTCTTAATCTCTGGATTCATGACTTTTTGGCATTAAGGTTATTTTAAGGCCAGTGCAGCTCAACAACGAAGTCATACAGGAGATTCTTCCTATAAGCTTGCTCTTATGGAATGGCTACCTTTGCCAAATTTGATTTAAGGAAATGCTGTATTTACTGACCTCACTTGCTAATGGCTGAGAAATTTCAGTTTAAAATTTCAGTGCATCCTATTTTGGAAAAAAAAATAAATCATTCCAGATGAATGCAGAGTCACAACCAGAAAACAAGTCTCATTGACAAGGATCTAGAAGGTACTGCACTCAGTCAAGTTTTTCCTATGTGAGTGATAGAATTTTACTTTTAATATAGTAATACTGCAGTATTTATTAATGTTTAATATTTTTAACCATTACTTTGCATTGATTAGTGACAGTGTGAGTCTGTCTTTAGCCATCTAACATTTACAGCCTGTCAGATTTTGACAATGTAGCACATGGAACGCGTTCTTTCTATGGACAAGATGTTCTGCTCCTATAGGAATGTGCTTACATCTTTAAAATGCAAGCATGTTAACTTCACAGTGTAGTTCAGCCTCTCTTATCCTGCTGTTCTCTCCTTGCTCCCTAGGATGTTACAAACACTGTGCTCTAGTTTACATGTTCTGGGAAGGATTTTATTGAAACAATTGGGGTGCCCTAAGCTGGTTTAGCCTCACAGAACATTTTGGAAGGGAGTAACGTGCTCCATAGTTGGAGTTCTGTCTGTTCTTGTCATTTGGAATTATGTAAATCTGTGTTTTCGGAAGAAGAATACTTTATTGTTATTTGGTGACTACTCTGTGTGGGACTGCTGTGCTGAGACTACATTGCAGAAACAGAGCATTCCTAGTGAATCATCAAACAATTCAATGATTCTAGTTGGAAAGGACACTTAAAGGCCGTCTAGTCCAGCTCCCCTACAATGAACAGGGATAAATCTGAGTGCTCAGAGGCTGGTCCAGCCTGACTTGGCATCTCCAGGGGCAGTGCATCCAGCACCTCTCTGGGCAAATTGAACACATTATTCAGGGCAGCAAAGCTGGCCCCATGGTTGTCACATCAGGTTCTTTCCTGATGACTTTGACACACTCGTGAAGGTTTGAAATGCACTGCTGAATGCCTGTGCATCTTGGCACTTTTGACATTCAACTATTATTTTTTTTTCCTACTGCAATTTAGGCTTAATTTTCCTCTGCTTATAAATGGGATGCAAATCTCAAGGAAATAGACTGATGAAAACTCACTCGTGTGGTCCTATCCTCATCTTCCTCTCCTCTCCCTATGCTCATCTTCCTGAGCATAAATACACACCTCATCCTCTTCAAAACTCCAGGGCGTGTTACTGAATCTGTTTTGGAAAACAAATTGTTTTAACTGCTTTAACATCACTTCAGTCATTTGTACTTTCCCCCATATACCCAAAACAACACTGGTGGTTATCAAGATAGTCACAGAAATCTAATTAACTACAAGGAGAGTAAAGAGGAGATATTCCTCAATCCTCACACAGGAGAGCATGTGTCTAGGTAAGTGACAGTTTATACCTGTTGAGTAACTGTCCCCATGTGGCTGACATGAACACACACAAGGTTGACAAATGCATAATGTACCTCCAAGAAGGTATTTGTGGCTCCTCTCTGTGCCAGCATTCATGCAGGCAGTCGGATGTTTTCCTCTGTTTTCATTATATTTAGCATGTTGGCAGTCCCCTGTATCTGTGCAGCAAAGTAGCACTAAAGCAATTAGTGTGCATATTAGCACTGAGAATCAGTCAGCAGATTTGTTGCAGCGAAAGCTGTTCATTACAAGCTAGAACAGCACGAGAACAGTTTCAGACTTGGCATCAGCTTGATTCAGCAGCTCAGCACTTATGCTGGGTTGAACTGAGCTTGCAGTGTTAACCAGATGGTGAGTGAAAATCTTTCTGCAAATGGTCTTCTCAAGTAGGAGAGATTCTTTTATAACTCACCCAGCTCTTGCATCTTCTCTGAAGTGTGGCCATAATGCATGGGTCTGGGAACTAGCTACACCAGCATCACAACAGTGTTTTGCTGACCTTAATGCTCACAGGTCAGTATGAGAGTTTAGAAACAAAGTTGTATGTGTTGTCCTGGTAATAAGAGTTGAACTGTGTTGGAACACTAGTGATACGATTACTAGTAAAACTTTACTTTCATCTTTGGGTGCACATTCTTGTCAGAGTGAGTACTATGGGATAAGCAGTCAGAAAATGGAACACTGCAATGTGTGTAAGAGGCAGAGTATCATGCAATGTGCAAAGTCAATGTTGAGTTGTAACTGTCGGAGAATCAGAAATTGGTTCTGCATGTTGGCTGTATTTGTTTAAGGGAAGAAAGCACGTTTTAAAAGCTGCAGTCAATGGAATGGCACAGTCTTCAGTGAGGAACTCCTTGCTTACAAAAGTTTAAATGTATTGTGAAAAAACATATTGCACAGCATTACTGTACTTCTTTGTTGTTTTCCTTTGTCTTGTTTTCTTTAGAACACTTCCCTAGACTGCAAGTTAACAGCAGCAGGAGAGAAAACCTTTGACAAAAGCCCAACAAAAGCACGGCAGCCTCGAAAAGTTGATCTGCGAGCTCGGTACTGGGCGTTCCTCTTTGACAACCTGAGACGGGCAGTTGATGAGATCTACGTTACGTGTGAATCAGATCAGAGCGTGGTAGAATGCAAGGTAAGAGCTCAGCATTTTTCTGCCTGCTGCCATGTGGTTCTTATCGCTTTTTTTCCCCCACTCTGTGCAGCAAATAAGGAATTAGAGCCTCAGAAATGTGTTTGTGCTTCCAGGCCTTTGTGTTTAGTTTCCTACTCACTAACTTAGTTAGTTAGTGAGTAGGAAGCATGGTGGCGTGTTTATTCAGATTTAACATGATGGAAACATTTTAGGTTGTGACCAATTTTGAAGTGTGTGATTTTCATAATGTCGTTAGGTCTTTTCTGTTAAGTTCTAATTTAATTTTCAAATGGAACATTGATTATTTTTTTTCCCCTATCACGTTCCTTTCTGTAGGTGGCACTGTTGTGATTCAGCCCTTTCCCAATCCTTGGCTTGTTGTTAAATGCCAAAATTACACATTACTCACTTTTTTTGGTAATTAGTTATCACTCTTCTGATTCTCTGTGGTGATAAGAGGGTGATGGATAGTCAAGCATAAACACTGTGTGGTTGGGATTGTTTTCCCTAATTTCAGGTAAGCTGTATTTGTAATAAGATGCAAAACTATACTGCCCAAGCTATGATTTTTTTTTTTAGTAGATCCACAGAAAAACCATTGTCATTTCACAGAGTAATTTGCTCTTTAGAAATGGAGTTAATTTCAAGCACTAAGAGAAGCCAGAAGAATGCATTTTCAAAGAAAAGTGAAAGATGCATTTTTTTCAGTATTCCTGTTAAATACAGCTGAAAACTCAACGCGTTCTGGAACTGATTATCTAATCACTGTATAAAAATTATAGGTATCAATTTAAGTAAACAATTTTCTTATCATATGTATCTAGTTCTCTGTTGTAATCAGACACTGCCAAATTGACTTTAAGATTAGTGTACAAATACATTTCATTGAAAGCAGATTGGAAAGCTGAACAGTAGCTAGGGGCTTCCAAATGGTGGGTTGCTCTAACACAATTTACCATGTTGATACTGAGCTGTCTTCCTGCTCAGGAAACTCTGAAGAATTTCTTGGTCTAAGAAAATCAGCCAGCCTTGCATGGTAATTAGATTACCATTTTAAACTTCTGTGCTCAAAAGAACAGTAGCATATTTGTATCATTATCACATATTTTAGGGGTTAGATATCATTCAGCATTTTAATCATGCTACTTGATCTGCTCTCAGATGGAAATACTCTATAGCCCAAGTGGAAAGCCTTCATTTTTGTAGCTGCTTGACAGTGATGTATGTATCCACAGGCATCAGATTACTTGTTTGCAGAACATGGCTGGAAAAAGCAAAGACCGAGTAAACAAGGATGGTCAGCATCGTGTGTCATTAAATCTTATGTCACATTCATGTTACTTTTACTTTTAAAATGCTTTCTTTTCAGCTTGGGAAAAAAAAAAAAGTTCCTTACTTTAGCAGGTGGAACGTGCATTTGTGCTTCAGGCTTTTGTTTGTGAAATTATCTTATAAAGATTACTATAAATGTGAGTCACTCTTTTTTCCTCTTTGAGCAATAGGAGATAAACTCATTCTTACACTTTTCCCACAGAAGAAGTACTCAGTGTAAGAATATTTCAAGGAGTTTCCACTCAGTATTTTTCTAAAGCTGCTAGAACAGGAATGGGATCGCTTTTCTTTTAGTTCTACTTTTGCTGACTTTTTGCACTATGGAGGAAAGTGTGTGTTGCTTAAAATGACACACAAGCTACCGACAGACAAACCAGCTCAGTATTGGTTTTAATTTTATTACAGGAGATATGTGGGGAACAACGTTAAATAAGGGTCCAAGATGGTAAAATTGTTTATCTGTTGGGTTTTTTAAAGGATTTTGAAAAAATCATTTGTACTGAGATCAATCTCAGTTGTAGATAACTGAATTCACAAGCCAGCATTTTAAATGACACCTCAAACCTGTGCATTGGTCAAATGGGGGGATGCTGTTCTACTTAAACATTTCAGCTGTGCCAAGATGACATTAAAAGAGGACCTTCTGTAAAAAAAAAAAAAAAAAAGAAAATTCAGGCACCCAAAACCTTTGTGTCAACTCAGGTGTTCAGTTTTGATTTTGGACCTTTTGCTTTCCTGTAGTATTACAAGTTGGTATCGTTTTATTGATTATGTTGTCACTGAAGGTAATGTTTGATGCTCCCAAATGGGAAAGGGCTCTTGTGGCTGCTTGTGGTTGAAACTGCAGACGAAGGTTTGTGGTGAGGGTACAAGCAGTGGAGATGTGTGTAAGAAGATCGTGTGTATTTTCCCTCAACTTTGGGCACTGCTGTAGGTGGTGTTTTGCTGTTGATTGGGCAGAGAACTCTCAAACCATGGAGGTGGATGCGACTCTGATGCTCCACATGAAGATGCTTGAAATATATATAAAAGAAATAATGGATTCTCAAATTTATGGATCATCTTACTGTGCATGAATCACTTTGGTGGAGCTGCATAGAGATTAGATATAACAACTGTAACCTTGAACAAATATGGCTGCTTTTATATGTTAGCTAGGTGTGTGTATCTTATGTTTATGTGAATTTTGTAGTGCCCAGTATTTTTTGGGTTTGAGTGCTGAGCTTAGACCCAAAGAAGTTGTCGTACCAAGGATCCTTTGCATTGCTTTCTGTATCCTAAAGGGAGTGGAGTCTAAAATTCTTTGTGGATGGAAGAAGGCAGATAGGAAGGCAGATTCCATGGCCAGGGGAGGCTTGGTTAATGCAGGAGAGAAATTTCTGCTGCAGTTGTTCTATGGTTTTTGGTATCTCAGGAGCTGGGATAGAGGAGATAAAACATTTAATAGCAAAAAAAACCCACTTCTTATTGATGGAGCTTGAGTAACTGGATCCACCAGCTGGACCCAGAAGATTCTCAGACTACCTGAAATTTAATGGGTGTGTTTTTACTCCTCCTTGGGATGAGTTCATGACTTCAGCTGCTTCTGTTTTGAAAAGGCTGGATTTTATGACGTAAAAGAAAGAAAAAAAAAAATTAGCTCATTTATTTTTAGGTTTCTGTTTGGCTTTACTTAATACTTGCACAAACTTTATCCTTTTACCTAACATCTAGTAATTAGTATGTTCCCACCAGATTTTGACAAGGACAGTTTCCACCTTTGTAATGCTTGCAGGTAGCTACCTTGAGAACAGCTCAGTGCAAACAGCTTCATTCTCCTTGTTTATTCCCTATGAAAAGAAAAAAGGAAAACATGAGATGCTATGAAGAGGTGGGTAAAGCCTCTCTTAAGAGATTTGACCTATTGTATGATGGTGTTCTGCAAAAGAACCAGCTGAAACGGCTTCATTCCAGGCCTTCCAAGCAGGGAGATCTCTGGGAGTGATTTACCATAGTTTCAGTTGATTGAAGGCCTCCCTGAAGGGGAGAGGAACTTGCTTCATTAGGGTCTCTTGCTGGGAATGCCTTGTGGGGGCTGTTTTTAGTTCAGGATATGCTAATTGTAACAATTCCCATCTCTGCATGCAGGCTGAGACCCGCAGACATCCATGCTGATTACTGGCTTATGAGGCAGCCAAGGAAATAAAACTGTTTCTAGATGTGTTGAAGCCAAAGGTAGGAAAAATTGAAGGTTTTCCTGACTTTGGAAAGGAAACCTCCAGTGATTCAGTACAATGGTGATGTTGATCCAAACAGGATCCTGAGTGCATTTTCACTGATGTAAAAGCCTGTTCTACTCTGTCCGTTTCACTTTCTGGGAGATAGGAGGTTTTGTTTTGTTTTTCATACACTTCAGTTTTATAGCTGCACGTATCTGATTCCATGGAGGGAAAAAATAAGTACAGAATCTGAATTAAATACTTCTGACTTCCAGCAGGAAATGATTTGTTATATGTGAATTTCAGTTCTTGTAGTGATGCAAATCCTGAAAGCATCCCAGGAGGGCTTCTGAAATAACTTATTTCCTCAACAAAGGCCTTGGAGTATTCTGTTTGGATGCAGCATTCTTGTTCTAGTGTCCTGGTTTTCTCTGACTTGACAAAGGAATTAAAAAGCAACTAAAGCTGTGCAAAATCTAAGTGATTTTTTTTAATTGAGATTTAGCATCTCCTGCTTTCTTCACCTGAATTCTTATCATTGATTGTTATTTATCTATCAGAGTCATCTGTTCAATGTATTTCTGTCAGTTCCATGACCGTTTTGGCCATTGCTGCACTTCCTTGGGCAGATGTCTTCTATCTTGGAACACCCTAGAAGAACATTTCCAGTTAGGGAAACTTCAGCATGAACTGAAGCGTATTCTGTATGCTGGCCTGTCATCTTACTCAATAAAACCAAGGTGATTCTGGCTATCCCTGAAAACCCAAGACAACAATTCATAGATTAGAACGTGTATAATTCATTTTCTGTCTTTCTCACAAGGCAGAGTTTTCCAGCTCAGTGAAGTTTAGTGGAATATACATTCTGAGACATTCTCAAATTGTTAGAAAAGGGCGAATTCTGCAGCTGGGATGTGTCAGGAGAATGGCAGGCTGCTGCTTTGCACTTTATTTAAAAAAAATGAAGAGTTCTGTTTCTGAGAGTGAAGTTACTTAGGAGTTATGTGTGTGTCTCTTTCTAAATAAACACGTGTGACTGTATTGCAGCAGTCAATGCCAAGAGAGCATCTCATCTGTGAGCACTTCTGCCTCTTTTGGGATGTGTACGTTTTCATCGTTGTCATCTTCTGAGCTGAATCAGAATCACCAGAACCGGCAGTAGAGCAAATGGAGCAGTGAGAGTGCATCCAGCCTCACTGCTGGAAATAGCTGAGATCTTTCAGAATGACAATTCATTCTTTTTTTTACCGTAGGTTGAGGGTGGATAGCCAACTATTGAAAAAACCATTGTATTTTCTGATTGGCCATCTGGCTGATCCCATTCCTGGCCCTTCATGTTTGACAGCATGTATTTCTGGGGGTAAATAAGCTGTAAGTGTGAAGTCCTTGTGTGCATCCCCTGACTTCTGAGCTAGTTTACTAAAGTATACGATTAAACTTAAAAGTTGAAGGTAGGAGGAACGTGGGCTGCCTTTTGAAGTGCACTGCAGTGCATGAAAATAACTTGCTCGACTAAAACCATAGCCTAAACTATTCATTACAGATAATTAAACAAAACAAAGTGTGCATAATTTGTAAAATGTTGTAAAATGGAACCTGCTTTGGCAGGGGGGTTGGACTCGATCTCTGGAGGTCCCTTCCAACCCCTACAATTCTGTGATTCTGTTATTATATGTTTCTAGCCTTAAGAATAAGTGACAATACAGTCGCGGTCATGTAGTTCATTTCTCCACCACGTTCTGCAGTTTTGAATTGTAGTGACCTTAAGATCATGCAATCTCCTGTGCTTTCCCCCCCCCTTTTTTTTTTTCCTCTCTGCTTTGCTTTTTTTCTCCTCCTTACTTGAGCATGGGAGAATAAATGGAGAAGATGATGTTTCAAACAGTGACATGGCTTCCAAACAGTGAGCCTCTGTTTGCAGAGATTATGATCAACCTGTCTAGGGCCCAAGTCAAGACAGTTCTGATTCAGGAATATAGAATTATCCTGATACAGCCGTTCTATTTACAGAGATCCTTCTCATTTGAAAAGTAGTCAATGTGATCAGCCAAGTGAAGAGGACAGAAGCACAGCTTCAAGATAAATACGTACGTAAAGAGGGAACCAATTGCTGAGAGCTAGAGAATCATAGAATGGCCAGGGCTGAAAAGGACCACAGTGATCATGTAGTTTCAACCCCCTGCTGTGTGCAGGGTCACCAACCACCAGACCAGGCTGCCCAGAGCCACATCCAGCCTGGCCTTGAATACCTGCAGGAAATTCAGAGAAGAAGGAAAAGCCCAGAAAGTTCCTTAGTAACGTGCAGGACTGTGCATCCGAATGATGGAGGAGAGGGACAAACAGGAGCTGCATTGTGAGTTTTTAGTTTTATGCCAGTAGTTTTCCTCGAATCTACTTTTTTTTAACAGCATTGCTTTCTTTTTCAGTTTGAACTGGCTCTTTAAAAACCGTGCGGGATGGTTATGACCTTGAAAAATAATGGGATTTAAAATTGTTTTGACTCTAGTGCAGCCATAGTCCGCCCCATCAAGGTTCTTTTTTGTCAGCACCTTCTCAAGTGCTACGAGTTTCCACTGCTTCAGCACCGCAGGGTATATCTGCTCTCCTCCGTGCCGTAGGTAAGGCACAGGGCTGTATTGATGTCCGGGACCCTGGAGCCCTGTGCTGGGATTGTGTGTCAGCAGGACAAAGGGATGGCGCCGACCGGCCTGCCGTGTGCGCTGCTAACTCGAATTAATTACAAACCAATCGAATCCGTTGCAGCCAATTGGTAAACTAATTGGTAATTTTAGCTGTACATCTATATGTAGTTATCTGGATGCCTGTAACGGCGCTTTCAGAGCCACTTTTGTTCTGCTTCATCCTGCTTGACAAAATGGCCCTCATAGCTTTAGGGAGAAAGATGTGCATCAGTGAATGTGGGGCAGCTCCAGCTGCTTGTCTTGTTTGTATTCCCTTGTTCGTAGGACATGACTCGGATTACAGCTGCATGGCTCTGCTCTGATCATTTCTGATAATGTGTAGCTAAACATTCCTTAAAATAGGTTAAGCCATTTATTGTGTCTTTTCCATGTGCCAACTAAATTCAGAAATGTAACTCATGTTCAGATGGATTTTTTTTTTTTTTCTTTGGTGGAATATCTCAGTGACAGACTTGAAAAGTAAATGATTCAGAATTAAATTTTGCTTTCTATGCCCTCATTGTTAATAACAGTCAGCACAGCTTAGCATAGGCTAGCTGAAATGGATGTGAATTGAATTAGAAAGCTGAAATTTTATTAGTGAAACTGGAAAAAAGAGCTGCTTCAAACACTCGCCTCGTTCATGCCTTGGAGCAGACCTTACTTATGAATTATTTTCGTGTTGTAAACTAACTGCCTTGTAAGAAAGATTTTTGTTTGCTTTCTTGTGGAGGATTTCAAAACAAAGAGCAACTTTTAGGTCAGCAGTGGTATTGTTTGACTTTGTGTGACTTTTTTTGATATAACAGACGGCACATGCTCTGGGTCTGTCATCCCTACTAGTGAATACTTACATGCAAGCTGAAGCTGGCTTTCAAACATGCATTTGTTAAACAAAAGGAATAATCATTGCTAAATGTTACACAGCAGTCTGTGTGTTAAGATCCTTTTTGTGTTACAGGTAAAGCTGGGTAGGAAGTGATGTTACAAAAGCAGGCATTAGCTAGCTTTACTGGGGCACTAGCTGCCGTGGTCAGTACTGAAATGTTTATTGTTTTGCCCTTAGGGACTTACACATTTGAGATCACTCCCCAAATATTTCCCTCTAATAACTTTGAAAGGAACATTTCTCCTAATGGAGCAATTAAGATTTTGGCATAGAAAAGAATTTGCAAATCAGGAGAAAGTCATTCATATTCTTTCCTTTTATTGTAATCACAGAATCCAAGCTTCATTTATGGATCTTCCAACATGTTTTCATAGAGCAGTGTTGCATGCATGTTTCAGAGACCAGTGTTCACTGGTCTGTGAAAGCTTTTGTTTCTGATGCATGTAATCTTGAAGCAGCTGCTTTGGAAATGCATTAATATGTCTGTGGGTGATCATCAGGTCTGCGGGCTGATGGTGTGTGTGCTTTTTGTCATGTTCAGGAAATGAGACTTTGAGTATATATGTGGAACATGAGTGATTTCCTGCCTCTGTGCCTTGTAAAAATGGCTCCCTTCTTGGCCATGTTGGAGCAGAGAGCCACAGGTTGCTCAGGGAACTTTGCTGTGGAAAGCCGTCAGTGCTGAGTAAGGGCTGCAGGATCCCATCTTACTTTTAATTTTTGATTGTTTCTGTATGGAGTCTGATCTTTCAGTATTTACTGCAGTGACACATTTGTCCAAACTGGAATGATGGAAGTTAAACATGAGGATATTTGTGTTGGAAACAAGTCATTCAGTTCTGTACTGCTCAGCTGTTGACATTTTCACAGGATCACAGAATGGCCAGGGTTGGAAGGGACCTCAAGGATCATGAATCTCCAACCCCCTGCAGCATGCAGGGCCACCAACCTCCCCATTTCATACCAGACCAATTTTATTAGTGAATTTCTTCCTGATGTAACATGGAGTTAACTTGTCTTTTCGTAACAGTTCATTTTATGTGTTGGAGAGCAGTGCATCATTTGCAGTCTTCCTCTAATTTCTTAACCAAGGTTTTACAGTGTTCAAATGAAACTGCAGCATGTCCATGTGATTTCTGGCAGTGTGTTTAAACCTACCCAGAATTGTGGGATGGAGTAGTTTGCTCTTAAGATCTCTTTCAGTTGTGCTACTTTATGACAATATGTAAATCTTTCATACTGTAAGATGTGTTCACAAATGCAGCTTTCAGTGATGAGGTAACATAAAAGCACACAAATTCTTCAGCAATTCCATGTAGTTCAAAAGTGACTTTTAAAATGGTAGAAAATAAACTGGTTTCTAATGGTTGAAAAGTATAATCTGGGTATTGAACTTGTAAGGGCTCGGCAGGTAATCACTCCGTGCTGGAAAAGTCACAATTGGTGTCTGCTTCCTCACTTGTTAAGGTGCACTAATCAAAGGGGAGAATATGAGCTTTGTGTTTTGCAGGTCATCTTGTTTGTTTCTTGGTAAGTTCATGTCAAAGGCAATCTTTCCACAAATGAAATCCAATGCTTTCTCATGTTGCTTCTCCAAGTATTACCGTAAGATTCCTTTAAAAGCTGCCTAATCAGTCTGATCGTGCTGATAATTTGTGACAATAGGGTATCTGTCACAAACCTAGATGGGTAAAGCATTCGTTCATCCTTGCATCCTCTGGAAGCCCTCAGGAACAAGACAGAGGTTGAGCTTGCTGCTCTGCCCATGTTAGGTATTGTACTGCAGCCACCTGGCATTCTCCAGAAGGAATTCCCTCTGTCTGATACAGTTATCTTGGTATAACTGTTAAATTTTCACTCTGCAAACAGATTAATCATTTGCAGTGAGTTTTTACTTTCCTGCTATAAGGATTTATACCTTTTCTGCATATTTCATGAAGTACATCTAGTATGTTTCTGGGGATAATGACTGACAAAAAGCAAAACCAAAATAGCAGTGATATTTATGTTTGCTAGGAATAACTTTGTAGAAGAATTTTGCTCTGTTGTCCTTAAACATTAGATCTTGCAGAAGTCTTAGAAAATATGCCCTTTTTTTTTTTTTTTTTTTTTTTTTTGTAGAATGCATGTTTTAATGTTCTTTCACATCAAAATTTAAGATTTCTTGCTTTCAGGGTTTTTCTTGTTTTTATTTTTGACAGGAAAGATGCAGAACAGTAGATTTTCTTTCTTTTTCTTTTATTCATTTCTTGTTTGGGGACTGAGGATTGTTTTTTAAATGCAGAGACTGATGTAATGGTTGCTTTTCAGGAAGTCCTGATGATGCTCGATAACTATGTGAGGGACTTCAAAGCACTGATTGACTGGATACAGCTGCAAGAGAAGCTAGAGAAGGCTGATGCTCAAAGCAGGTAATCAGCTGCTGGGTTTTTTCCTTTCATTTATATCCCATGCTGACTGTTGATAAAATTTTGTCTGTGGCGAGCATTGAACAAATTGGGAAAATTGTAATGTCTGTTGTGGGGAACAGGGGGGGAAACTTTTCTTTTGGACAGACTTGGGGTGAGGACCTGGTGGGAGTTCTCATAGTGCTTAGTCCCTCATAGTGTTACTAGGGAGTAGTTGTACTGAAAATGGAAAAGAATTTGGAAGTATTTGAGAAGTAAAACTGTTTGTTTTAAGTAGGCATTGTAGTTTGCAAGAGTGAATGGTTTTTTGATCTGATTCTGGGTAATATGGTTTGGATTTGGTGTAGAAACAATTGCAAAGGTGTCTGATTACATTCAGCAATACTCCATAATGCTGCATAGCATTTACAGATGCAGATAAAGGATTATTGTGGACTTGTCATTTTTAACCTCTTCTTTCCTCAATTTGCAGGCCTACTTCACTAGCCTGGGAAGTAAAGAAAATGTCTCCAGGGCGCCACGTGATCCCAAGTCCCTCATCAGACAGAATCAGTGTGACATCAAATGCTCGGAGAAGTTTGAATTTTGGGTATGAGAACAGATAAGTCTATTAAAGCTAACATAAGGATTCATTTGAAACCGATAACATTCCATAATAATGTGACTTTGCTGCTTATTAAATTGTATATACACATTTGCATATGCTTTTCTTGCACAAATGCTCTATAAAAGGAAAACCTGTCAAGTAGTTAATTTTTGCCTATTTCATTGTATATTTAATTATTGGTTGATCAAAAGACCTGAACTTAAAATACAATTGCATTCATATTTCGTGTTTTCTGTTTCCCTGCTACTCTTTCCCTGCTACAAAACTAAGGTCAAAATGTGTGCGTTTTAAAATTGTGTGCTGTGCAGGTGTCCATCTGTTGAAGTAAATACCGGTCAAAAAGACTGAATGTAGTGAGATGATGAGCAGCAAAATTGATACAAGTTTAAATATAAAATGTTATATGGTAGAGTAATGCATCTTTCACTTTAAGTGACTGTGTGAAACAAAATTAGAGAGGTTGTCTGCTTAAATACATGATGATTGGAGGAAAACATGCACAAGCAATCGAATGGAGAAACTGACTATGGAGGAAATAAAAGTTCTTCCTTTTTGTTTTAAAAATCCTGAAGTTAATATTGTAAGGATTCAATTATATCTGTGGTTTCACTGTAAATTGCTGTAATGTGGGAGTAAGGTGAAGGAGATGTCACTCAGTGCTTGCACAGTCCTGATATTCTATTTGCTGAGCTGCATGGAGCTACGTGAGATAGGGTGCAGGAACTGCGGGGGACCTGTGATCTCATCTTGGAGTGCTTGTGGAAATAAGTCTGGTCTGACACTTCTGCTGTGCCTTTGTATACACTCTTTGTATACCTTGCTTTGTAAATATCTGCTATTTCTTGTAGCTAAGTTCATATCCTAGTGCATTCTGAGGGCTTTGGTCAGTCTGTCTTTGTGGTTTCTCACGCCCTAACGCTTCCCCTTAGAACTGATGAGGGCTGTGAACACTAGTGGGTATTTATGATATTGCTCTTTTTTGGTGGTTGCCTTGATAAACCTCTTGTTGTCCCACTGGCCTTAAGATATTGAATAGTCCAGTTATGTAGGGCTTTTCTGTGTGTTTGAAACTTGTGAGATCTCTATTTCTTTGTCCTTACTTTGCTTTAAGCTAGTGGAGCAGCTGGATTTCTTGGACCAGTTTACTCAGTGTTACAAGCTTGGAGAGAAGTCGCTTGTGTGATTGCAGATATAATGATTCATCTACTGAAGATAATTGGACATTTCTTGAATGGAGTGAATGCTACCATTTTCAAATATATTAAAAAAACAAACAAACAAAAAAAACTGGTTGCATTCACATAAAGAAAACCTGGTGGTTTGTACTGAAAATGGTCACTTTTTACAGCAGGCAAACTAAAATACTTGGTAAAGCACTGCAGTCCCAGAAGTGCCACATTGAGGCAGGCAATGCATCTTTCCACAAGTTGGGAAGATGGCCTTTTGGATTTCTTTCTGTGGAACAGGTAGTGGAAAATGGATGTATTAATTTGTTTACTCAACTGTCCAGCAAAACAGAGCATGTTACGGATTTGTGTGGTCTAGGTTTACAGCTCAACTTGCACTTTAATGGACTTCCTGTACATACAGTTTGACTCCTCATATGCATGGTGTTTGCAGCCGGATCTCTGCAGTTCATTGGTGCAGTTGGGCAGGAGCCAGGAAGATGCAAGAGAAGGGCTGTTCTGTTTGGCTGCAAATACTCACCATGTGTTTATTGTTATCATTTAAAAAAAACTTGCTATTAGAGAGTGTTTCTTGTGGGAACTGTTTATGCATTGCTACAATGTTGAATCTTTCTTTCACCATTAGGCATTTTTTAAATTTCAACCTGAGAATTTAGCTTCCTGTTCGTTTGGTTTCACTGACTTCTATGTATAAGGGATCTCACATGAAGATTTCTCTCCAGCTGTAGCACTGCTTGGTGTGTCCTTCTGTCCTCTCTGTGCCTGGACATGTGCAAAAGGCTGTTAGGGTAGTACCTGACAGCTCGACTTGCTGTTGCTGTGTTGCCATGTGCTTTGTTACTGAGTTGAATGTCAGTTTCCTAATGAGCCGTTCTGTTCTTTGATTAGATGCTAATAAGAGCTATGATTTTCATTTAGGAACCCATCAGTGGCCATTTCTGCAACGCGCCTGGCTCCTTCTGGTGTAAGCTGGGCTGATAAGGTAAAAGCCAACCATGGAAAAGCGGCCGGTCCTGAGTCAGCAGCTACACAAACCTGTCTGCCAGCCCCAATACAGAAGTCATCCCGAAAAAATGGCAAGTCTTTTTAAATGGCTTAAGTTATTTTTGCAAAATGCACTGTATGGTTGGTTCAACAAGTCACTTGTCTTCAAATGGAAATGTCTCGTTTTGCCTTGTATGATGTTAAAATCTAAGTCATAGATGGAGGGCAAAGACTACTGCAGCTTTATCACTATAATGGGTAAATTTTACACAGAGTTGTGTTTTCAAGTGCAGGTAATGTTCCATTGTATTTCCAGTAGCTATAAATTGATCAGTGAAAATTTCATTGCAAATCACCCCAAGAAAGATCTTTTGGTTGCAAGCTGGTAATCAAACTGAGAGCAAGGTGAGGGTAAGCTTAACACAATTTCTTTCTATGAAAAATCTGTATGTATGGTTTCTGTGTGTCATCATTTATGTCCAGAATCACAGTAGGAAAAGAGGGCTGTGATTTCCGGGCCAAATAAATTGAATTTTAAAAAAGGGTTTCAAATAATCTTCTAAGAGCAATATGTGCCTAGGATTCTCTAAAATAGCTGAAGTGCTGATATTACCAGAACTGTACTGAAGTTGAAAACGGTGCTCTTTCCTTCAATACAAAGGTTACAACGTGTAGTAATGAGTTTTTCTCTGAAGATGCTTTGTGGAGAATGCTTGAGGCTGGGGTCTGTTGTTCTAGAAGAGATGTGCTTGGATGGAAACATGAAAATCTTTGCCTCTTGGCATATGAAGTTAGGTTTTTTTGCACACGCTGGCATTCACAGGATTTAGAGATTCTAGTTGTTGGGTTTTTGAAACGTGAACTTAGTTGACACTGCAAAAACAGCAGGCTAGGATCAGTGTTCTAGTAAAATTTAGAAGTATTGTTTGAAAGTCACTGCAACAGATCGTATTAATTTAGTGTAGTTGTACTTTTATGCCAGTGGTAATAGAAATCCTTTATGGTGGTTCAGAAACACAATGTATCAGATCTAAAATACCGTGTCCAAGTCATGCAGTTTAATATAACTGAATTCAGTAGCATGCAGATCTTTATGCTTAGAAAGGAAGAATCAAAACCATACTCCTCAAGTAGTTGTTTGCATGAGGACTGATGGATGCTGTTTGTGTAATGGAACTCCTCAGTTCCACTGGGCTGTTTTGAACACAGTAGCAGTTGGCTGAGTTATTAGCACTGTAAGTGAAAGAGTAATTCCATCTTGAATTTTTGTGAGCAGTTAAAACTACTCATAAAGAAACTTTCTTCTGTTGATTCTCTCACACATTACCATGAAGGACTTCAAGCTGTTTTATCTTTATTAGGAATTCTTGGTGTGGGCAACTTCAGTAACTGCATAGAAAATAAAACTGATCTACACTTCCATCTCAGTAACGTCTTTCTGGGATGCTAGAAAGAAAACAAAAGGCCTTATTCTTATTTGAGCTTTAAAGTCTTTAAGGTCTGAAGAATTGGTGTGTTCTTGGCCATTACCTGCAGCCCATGAGCTCCAAAAAGAGCAATTCCAGTTAGGTCATGTAGAACTGGCCTAAGTGTTTTCAGTAACTTTTAGTATCAGATGTACTGCAAGATTCAGACTTCAAACATTTCATGTTTAGAATTAAGTTATTCCTTGCAGAGACTTTAACTCTCTTTAACATCCAGCATAGGAGAACTTCAGTGACTTCTCTCATGACTGAATTCTAATTTTTAAATGAAAAAAAATTGAATAGTTTTCTTGCAGCGCATTATCTCATATAGAGTAGTGTATCACTTCTGTAAAATCAAATTGATTTTGCTGATTGGAGTACAAGAGGATTTGTGAAGTTTATGCAAAGGGAATTACAAAGGCTCTTCACATGCATTATTGAAGCAGATGTGAGTCTTGTGTATCATCTGCTCTGCCTGTCTGCTGGCTAATGCACTCTGCACAACTGTTAGATGCACTCAGGTTTGGGGGAGGATTCTTCCTACTATGCTATAATGTTATCTTGCCTGCTCTAAAGCCCAGCTGGGGTTGCAGTGGCAAGATCTCCTGAAAACACTTTTTCTCCAGTGGTTTCAGACAGCATTAAGCCTCACCATGTTCTTGTGCAGTGGTATGATGCTGTTTCAAGCTGTATAATGTTATAATTATAAAATGAACAAGAGAGTTAGGCAAAGCAGTTATGATAACAAAAAGAGAATAGATAGAAAGCTTACCCACATCCTGGGCTCGCTGCAAAACTCCAGAGGAGGGATCTCCAGGAAAGATCCTTGGCAGTCAGCTCTTAAATGGCTCTAGGAGAGGTGCAGCCAGGCTCCTCCCCTTCCTGCAGCACAGGTGAGTTGCCTTCACTGTGCTCCTCATTGCTGACTCAGTGCTCACCTCAGGTGATCAATCAGGGGTTCATGCTGTGATTCAGCAGTTCCATAAACAAGCATTGATGGAATTTCCAAATTTAACTGGAGTGAGAAAATGCTTGTTTTTTCCATGTATTTCTGTAAATTATTTTTTCTGGATGCACAATTAAATGATGTTAAATTCTTACCTGATTTCCCTCTCTAAGCTCACTGCTACCCTCATTATTTTCTTAATTAAAAAAGAATAATTTCAGTCTTGAGTGTTTTCCTCAATCCAGAACCTAATCTAGCCTTATTTCAGAGCAGCTTCCTTCTGAGATCAGGTGATGGCAAGAGAAAGGCTTGGTTTGGTCACAGCAACGTGCAGAGGCAATAGCCTAGCATGGAAATAATTCCCAGGTGTCATTTGTAAGAGGTGAGATGGATAATACAGGTGTAATTGTTTTTTTCTATTTTAATTGCTCTTGTACATAGTTGCAAAGCAATACTTTTTGTAATGTAGCTTAGACTTCTGATCAGTAGGCTGTGCAGTGCTCTGAAGTAACAGTCCTGATCTGGGCTCAGGGGAGCACTGTAACTTCTGCACGTGGAGAGCAAATTGCACAGATGTCATCACAGGCAGACAGCAAGGGAGCTTGTTCCTGACTGGGTGCTCAAATTCTTAGGCAGAATTTCTATTGAAATCTTACATCCCCTCTCTCTCCTAACTCCATCCACCCCCCACCCTCCCCCCCCCAGAGTTTTAATATGAGTGAGTAGGGTCAGAAAGGCTCTGGTAGTGCATTGCTTGCCAGTAAGTTTTTAAGAAGGGATATACATCTCCTGAGGTAGAACTCCTGAGGGCTTTGCACTTTATTGGCTAGATGTATTTTATGGATGGTGCCAATAAGCTGCTTGGCCAGTTCTTCCAGATGGAGCAAGCTGGAAAGAACAAGGCCCTGGTGGCTGTGAGGGCCTCAAGGTAACAGATGGCTTGTCGTATCCATGTAACACGAGAGCAAGTGGGGACAGAGAGGTTCTAGTGAAACTGGAGAGTGATCAAGGTAGTCAGATGAATTATTCATTAACAAAACTCATCAAGTAATCAAACCCAGTGTGTGATACTTAGCATGTGGAGAAGGCTGCTGGGCTATATGAAAAGTTCCAGGTTTATGTGAAGAATGGAAGAATAATGCCCTAATGACTATTGCCCTTGCTTCAGATTAGGAGCTGTGTGATCTAATGTCAATAAATGAATTAGCTTTCCATTTTTTTTGCTTAAAAACAATCCTGGAAGTGGCTGAGTGCAAAACTGCTGGGAGAATGGAAGTGAAAGAGTAACTTTCACAGCTGGTTGTCAGATGGCATAGAACTGACACTGAATGTTCTTGCACTCTGAATGCATGTTTGCATTAAAAAATGCTTTGTATTTAGAGAATTCACCAAATAATAGTATTTACAATGGAAAAGATGTATCTATGCACTGCTGAATATTTAGCTGAAAAGTCCTGAGTAAAAGATCTGGCAGCAAAGAAGTGCAAACTAAAAATTGTGCATGTGTGGCTTCTAATAAAAGATTCATTCCTGTGGTAATGATGAGTATGATGTTGCATGTAATGATGTGAGCTGGAAGGGACCTTAAAGCCCACCCAGCCTCACCCCTCCCAAGGCTGGTTGTCCCCCAGCTCAGGCTACCCAGAGCCCATCCATGGCCTTGGGCACCTCCAGGGATGGGGCACCCACAGCTTTGGGCAGCAGTGCCAGCACCTCACTGCCCTCTGCGTAAAAATTTCCCATTGCCATGCTTTTAGTAATTTGTACTTTACTGTTTGAGGGTACTAAGAAATACATTACAAAGCAAGGAATCATCTAGGTAAGGCAGGCATGAATTTACTTTTTGGTAGAATGAACTTCAGTAGATTTTAGGGAAAGATACTAAAAGATATCGGTGCAATTATTATTTAGATATCTAGAATATTCTTATCCATATTAGGAAAATTATCAATAGATACTGGAATTTTCTGGGGATATCTCCTGAACTTGTTTAATGTAGAGAAGATGCCACATCTATTAACTTAAGACATCTTTTAGAACAAGTAGAAGTGAAATCTTGCAACACTCTCATTTTGGAAAGGACCTGCTGAAGGTACTCCAATCCAGAAATCTGCTGCAGTAAAACAGCAGGGGTTGGGTGGATTTCAGCAGTCTTCTGAAAAGTCTCTTCATTGTTTGTTTTGCTTGCTGTGCAGGGTGAGTTCTTATGCCAGTATCTATCATATGCAAAATCTTTGTGGTCATACCAAGTATAGAGGTCAATGAAGGAGATGCAGATGTCACTTATGGGGTCTGAGCAGTCCCTGCAGTCCCATGTAATACAGGGCTGTGCTTTGTGCACTCTGTGCCTGGAGCTTTCTATGGTAAATCTGCTTGTGGTTCCTGTACATAGCAGGGGGTTGAAACTAGACGATCATTGTGGTCCTTTTCGACCCAGGCCATTCTATTATTGTTGCCTATTTAAAACCCTGTTTGCCCGTTCCAGCTGTTCCACATGGAAGCACGCTGAAGTGCACCTAAGAAGAATGAAAGAAAGACTTTGGGGAGACATGTCTGGTTACCACTGGTAATCTGAAGAGATTGCTGCAGTCACGGGGCTCTGAGCTACCTGGCCTGGTGGGGGTGTCCCTTCCTCTGGTGGGGGTTGGGGCTGGATGACTTTGGAGGTCCCTTCCAACCTAAACTATTCTATGATTCGTGCACAGTTTTGGATTTTTTGATTATGAAAATGAATGTTAAGGCTGGTCTTTTTTATGTATTGGAAATTGCATTAGAATAAAAAGACGTGCTGTGAAAGCAAGAAAAGTATTTTGGTCTCCGATCTCCCCATAGGTGTGTTGGCCTGCAGGAAGTTGATAGTGGCAGTCTGTGAAGCTGGCATTTATTCTATGGTACTTACACAGACATCTAAAAGAGCGTGGTAATCTTAGAGAGCATCACACTTGCATTTTATATTTAAGTTAGTGTTTTCAATAGAAATGCAGCAAGGCATTCTTTAGGTTAGTAATGTGAAATCCATCATAATACATCAATCATTCTGTTTTCCAGCTACCCTCAGGTGTTTCAAGTTACAGTTTTTGACAACTAAATAGACTCATTCATATTTATGTTTATGTTAAATTTTAATGTTAGGGTTCTGATTGTTATGCTTGAGCTGCAGGACCATCTTTAGTTTCTAAAAGCTGTAGAAATACCCTAAGAATTTTATTTTATTTTACTTTTTTTTTTTTTTTTAGTGTAAAGTTCTACAGTGGCATAGCATTTTCTTTTCCTCAGAAGAAAACCATTTACTGTTGGGTATTTGGATTCCATATCATGCTTTGCATAGGAGACAGAGCTTCATGCTCTAAAAATGAGAGTTCTTTACACAGCATTTCTCTTTATGATTTATATTGCCATACTGTTTCATCAAGTGCTAAATTTTAAGGTACGTTATGAATGTATGCTCTTGATGAAAGGAGGAGAGTATTGGGGGGGTTACTGAAAAAAATTGTATTTCTTGAAACTGAGCCTGAATTAAATGCTTTAAATGAGGCTCCATTTTGTGGTATAGCTCATTTAAGCTTTTCTTCTGCATATAGATACTTGTCAGCTTGCCTTTTGCACTCTTGGGTCATCAAGTCTCAAAAGAATCAGTTATGTAAAGATGTATGGGAAATGGCATGGTGGTATAAATTGGAGGCCATGAGAATGTTGTCTATAAAGATATCTACCTTGATTTGCTAGAAACGCTAGAATCACATGGAAGACCTGCTAATTCAGGCAGACAGATGAAATTTTGAAGGTTTTCCAAGTATGTGTCAAAAGTAGATATCAGAAATGTTGGTCAGCATGTTGTACCTTATAGCTATTTAACTATCAAAGTAAATGGGAGAAAGCTGCACTCTTAAGTGCTCCTTCAAATTGGAATCCAACTGTAACAATATTTGGCTGTTTCTAGGAATTTAGGAAAACAAATTTTCTCAAAGCTGACACCAGTTACTGTATTTGTTTGTTTTTTAAATATCAGAATGAAAAAGAGAGGGGAAAAAAGTAAACGCTTCTGAAAGAATCGTAGACCACATTTTGGATGGTTCCTTAGACCTCGTTTCTGGACCTCACTTAGACCTGTAGTTACAGCTGTGCTTGCTGAGGTCTGTGCTTTTCCAGAGGCATCTAATGCTGCTGTTGCTGCATGTGCTATCTGGTGAAATTGAAGCAGATATGAAATGTCTAGGTACATGGTGCCATTTTTGCCTGGTTATGTGTATGGGTAATTCAGCTTGGTGACATTCCGTGAAGAGAGTTGTTGAGTGTTTATGAAACCGGCAGCTCTCCTTGAAGCTGCAAGCTTTGCCAAATAATATTCCATTGAGGTTTTGGTTTAAATTTTTTAAGGGAATGTTTTTGCTGTACAACTTGTGGAATGCTGCTATAAAATAGTTACCATACCTCTGTTATTGTCCTTTTCTTGGAATGAGATGTTCTTTTTTCTCAATGTAGATCGGAAGGATGCAGAGGGCTGGGAAACGGTTCAGCGTGGGAGGCCTGTTCGATCTCGATCCACTGTTGCATTGGCAACAAAAGCTCCTGTAGCTGCAGAATCACTCAAGTCTAGAGGTGACAGTGACAAAGAAAACGTCGTTTCACCACCATCGGAGAATAAGCCTGAGAATTCACTCACGAGTGATGGTGCACCCAAAAGCACAGAGCTTGTACAGAAAGCCCCTGTACATCAGTCTGAACATCCTCTTATCGAGAGGACTCAGGTCGGTAAAATTTTGGGCCATTTTTCTAGCCTTAAGTCTTGCAGTTTTTCTTTGGAGAATTTTCTTGAGGAAGCTTGTATTCACTGAACAGATTGTGGGAGAGTTTAGATTTATATTTGTGGAAGTGCATTAAGGTGTTGGCAAGGTAAAAATCATGATGTGGACCATATATATCATGATATGAACTGTAATATGAACCATATTATTCACAGGCTTTCATTGTTTTCCAAAAACTGATCTTTATGTACAGCTCCTGTATAGGGAAGTTCAGATAAAGATCCTGCTTTTGCAAAGTTACAACCAACTGGAAATATGTGTAATTGGAGTTGTTTAAATCACTCACCATAAGGATGCCTGATATTTTCTTAAAACGCTTTGGAGACTTTAAAAATCAGCATGTTACCTTAAGTTAATTTTGCAAATGTCTCTTTTAGTTCACAGCACGCACATCAGAAGGCAGTGCGAGCACTAAAGCACCACTGCAAGAAGATTCCTTACAAACAGTTCCTGAGGTGCCTCCGGTTCTCACAAATACTGAGTGCCCTCCAGCAGCTGTGCAGGTGAATGAAGCTTCCTCTGCAGTCTCTGACAGCTTGGACCAGCATCCAACAGAAAAAGCTACGACTGAAACTGAAATGGATCCCTCAGATATTTCAAATGTGAGTGCTGCCAGATTGGTAAGAAATACTACAAGATTTTGGAGTAAATAAGACATGTGTGCCTCACTGTTTTCATTCTGTGTTGCAGTGTTGAGTGTTATCTTGCTGTGTAAACTATGAAAGTCTATAGAAGACTTCTTTTAGGAACAAATCCAGAACAAAATCAGTGTTGAACAGATACACCAGGAAAAGATGGCAATTTTACTGAAATTCAAAGTTGAAACTAGAAGTATCTGAAAGTGTTATTTGGAGTAAAAGCAATACTCTGATCGCTTTTTTTTTTTTCTTTTTAACATAAATGATTATTATCATTTTATTTCCTTCTATTACTATTCATTTAAATTAAGATTCTTATTAAATTCTTACTCCAGTTTTGTTAAATATGCAAACTGGAAACTCACAGAATATGATAATTCTCGTACAACTCGAAATGTTGACAGATGCCATTCTCAGATAACAAAGGTCAAGTCCATGTTCTCCTTTAACGTGGCTTCCTATAAAGAATATCCTTTTTTGTCTATTGAATTCTGCAGGTTTCAAGGTGTCTGTTAGTTTTCTCACAGTAGAGAATTGCAGTAGTGCAACATAAAATCCAGTTTGTTTTTTTTCCTCCCCACAAGTTAGATTAATATTCCAATTTATAGAAACTTTCCTGCATACCACCTTCCCTTTAGCACCGCCATCAAACTGGACTGGGAAATTTCCAAGTCATGAATATGGCTGCTTTTAGAAGCAGTTCATTTATAGCATCTCTGTGCTACAGTGCTGTGCAACGCAATGCTGTGACATTGTTTCACATTCTCAATTTTTAACAGTTCAGAAGGCTGACAGTGGGATCTGTGTCTCCTGGGAGCATTTCCCTGCTCCTGATTAGACTGCATTGAGCTCAGATTTGTGTGTTTTGGCACAGGGCTTGCTTGCTGGAGTGGAAATGAACCAGTTAATACTGGTCATTTGAGAAGACAACAACAATCAGCATGTTCAGGCTTATGTTCTTGCCCAGCTATCTTGCCATTCTTGTTGAAAAATAGGCATAGCCAGAGATTAAGTAGCACTAACCACAGTCAAGTTTCCAGATACGGTTCATCTGCAGATCCTTTGTCATATTCTAAATACTGCTTTGGAGCATGATTCCTTTTCTGAAGATAGGCCATGTTACTAATGTTTCAGACAATGCATTGCTTAGTTCCTAAGGTCAGGTATTGAAAAGACAGTTGTTAGACAGTCACTATCTTAGTTGTTTTAATGACAACGTTTGTATAAATGTATAGAATGTATAAAAAGGGATTATGTGAATGAGAATTTTGAAGTGACTTACATGGTCCTTGAACTAGCTGATAATTGAGCAGCTTCAGATTTTTGTTTGTATTTCATTCGCGTGCTGCATTCAGAGAACATAGGAAGGATGTACAAGCAATTAGAAGTTGAACAGAATACAATTTTGTTTGTAATACAGTTCATATTAACTACATGGAAACTACTTCTTTGTGTCCAGATCTGACTCTTGGTTTAATATTTCCTATGCAGTCTATGGCAGAAGTCCTTGCAAAGAAGGAAGAGTTGGCAGATCGCCTGGAGAAGGCAAACGAAGAAGCTATTGCTAGTGCTATTGCAGAAGAGGAGCAATTAACTAGAGAGATAGAAGCAGAGGAAAACAATGACATTAATATAGAAACCGACAATGATAGCGATTTCTCTGTGAGTGTTGGATTTATCTTAAAATAGCTAACTTTAAACCTGTATTAATGCTTTGCTGACATCCAGAATGTCAGTGTTCCTTTTTACATTAATGCAACCTTTACGTGCAAATGAGGTAAATAATGTCATGGAGTAATGATAGTGTGCTACCTTAAGGAGTATTCAGGCTTAGTAAATTCAACAGTGCTGTGCTGCTGAGGCTGATGTTGCAGTCATTGTTTCCTTCTGCTTGTTTCTGTGTGAGAAACTGGGGAAAGTGGGCTCTTTTATTTTTTGCTGCTACTAGACAGGAGCTGCTACAGCTGGGGCAGTAGTTTCCATTGCCTACTCAAAATCAGCAGAAACAGCATCAATTTTAGAGATGGCTAGTTGAATTTGGAAACGTTATTGGAAATCACTGCGCTAGCACTATTTAATGCATGTGTCTGTTTCCATGTTAAATTCTGTTTTTACTGTGGATCCCATTAATTTTCAGGCATGTATGGGCAATGGAAGCATATCTTTTTGTGGAATATCTATGGACTGGAATGATGTCTTGGCAGATTATGAAGGTAAAATTTTTGTATGTTACTGTGCTGAACTTGCAATGGCAGCAGAAGTTAGAAAAATGCCCATTTTATGTATGCCTGCATAAGAATTTGAGAGATCCTCCTAACATCTGACTATTATTCCAGGTTTTGTTAAATTTGATGTTGCTTTCTTAGGGAAGATGGACTTCTGTGTTCAGACTATCTGTGCCTCTACCACTACGTCTTTATTAGGATTTTAATATTTGTTTTCCAGTTTTATCTTAACATTTAATTAGAAGTCCAATTAAATAATTAGGCACTGAAAGTGCACGGGGAATAGAGATGCCTCAATCAAAGTTGGCACCTTAATTAGGTTGTAGAGGACCCATTTGAGGGAGAACTTCAAGAGGAACTAAGCCTCACTAGTAGCACTTCTCCTAGAACAGTGTTTCAGTGACAAAAGTCTGTTTTCTCAATGTACAGCCCGTGAATCGTGGCGCCAGAGTAATTCTTGGGGAGACAGAGTGGAAGAAGAGCCTGCACGCCCGCCTGGCCACGGAATACACATGCATGAGAAACTGTCATCGCCCTCACGCAAAAGGTGTTAGAGTTGTTCCATGTCTTGATTGGGCAGTGGAAACGAGCAACCGAGCTCGTGCCTCTATGAAACTGCTCATAAACTTACTTTCTCTAAGTCTGTGGGTGGAAAGTTTTAAAGAAACGAGCATATTATTTTCATGTTGAGCGAGGTTCGTGCTACATTGACCGTTAAGTAAATATTTGAAGACTGGAAGAACAATATTTACATTTAAGGGAAATAATTGCAGTGGCCTGTTTGTGTTTTCTTACTGAAAATGTCATAGAAATGTTTGCAGTGCTGTCACGTGATGATGTTTCGCTGACTTTTGCTCTGCTTTTTTTTTTATTGAAAGAACAATAGCAGAATCCAAGAAGAAACACGAAGAAAAACAAATGAAAGCTCAACAGCTGAGAGAAAAGTTACGTGAAGAAAAGGCACTGAAGCTTCAGAAATTAATGGAGAGGGTAAGCTTCCTATAGTACAAAGTAGCCGGTTTGCTGCTTTCCAGAAAACCTTTCTTCTCTCCCTCCATGTTGTCTCAGAATGCCAGAGGTTAAAGCATGCAGTAAAACAGAATTTTCCTGAGTGTCAACTCACATGGTTTTCAGGGGTGACTCGTGCATCACAAAAAGAGCTTGAATTTCTGATCTAAGATCAGGATATTGCTAATACCAAAACAAGAAGACTTCTTTGACAGCTAATTCTCCTGTTGTGATGTGAGCTGTATATATGTCTTGGAAGATATGAATGATTTGCCAAAGGTTGCAGTCTAAAATATTAGAAATAGTAAAGAAATGTGTTCCATGTAGAATAATGAAAGGTGTATACTGTATATTTTTTTTCTTCACTTATCCACCCAGTCATGTGGATGGATGGATTAGGACTTAGTGGCAGCCTTCTAATGCTTAGCAGGTGATTATTAATGGACTGAAGCTAGGCTCTTCACAGTGTTTTATGACAGTAGGCTGAGAGATGATGGACGTAATTATTTTATTTTTAAGTAAGAGGTTCCAGCCAGGCAGAGAAAGTTCCTCATTGTGAGGACAACTAAATACTGGAGCAGACTACTTAGAGGTTGTAGCTGCTTTGTATTTGGAGGTTTTCAAGAACCAAGTGGATAACACCCTCGCTGGTCCTCAGCAACCAACCAACATGATGATCTCATAGCTGAGCTTGCTTAGAGCAAGGCATTGGACTAGGTGACTTGGTTATCTTGTGATCCTAACTTATGATTATTTACCTACTTTACTTCTGTAGGATGAGAATTTATTGAAATGGATTTTGCAAAGGATAGTGGAACAGTTAGCAGATCAGTGTACTTTGAGTTAAACGTGGTGCAGGATTTGTGCAAGCAAGGCTCCAAAATATTTTATTTCTGTAATTAAAGCTTCAGAACCAAGAAAATTCAGGGGAAAATTTTGGTCGTACTTTCAGCTGCTGTGTTAGTAATGAATTCTCTGATTCTGTACAGGAGAAAGATGTACGGAAATGGAAAGAAGAATTATTAGATCAAAGGCGCAGGATGATGGAGGAAAAATTGCTCCATGCAGAGTTCAAACGTGAAGTGCAGCTACAAGCAATTGTGAAAAAAGCACAAGAGGAGGAAGCTAAGGTAAGCTGTTTCACTTTAAAGGGCAAATATTCAACTGCCGTGTTTGTGTATGTTCTGTACCACAGAGCGTTCTGGAATGTGTTGTGAAGGATAATGTAAGTAGTGCAGGAATGGACACGTATCACCTGTGAAGCAGATAAATGCCAATCTCTAAAACTGCATTTTTTTCCCCTCTAAAATGAATTTTAAATGAGTCTGTTATTAGACATTATGGTGGGCTGAGCTAGAAGAAAAGATGGATTCAAGTAAGAACTCTCATTCTTTGCAGACAGTGTAGCGGCATTTTGGGGGACAGAGCTCCTGGAAGGGAAGGAGATCTCATAAATTCTCTGTACTGCAGCAGAATGCAAAGAAGGGAGAGAACATTGCACTTCATTAAACAGCCATGCTGGATTCAGTGTCCTTATACAATGTGTTCTTCTATACATGTGTTTCTGTTGCTGTGGCTTGTACTACTTACATTGTTAAAAAGCTGGGCATAAACCTGTTGATAACACAGCAATTACTGAAACCAAGCATTTAGCTAGTGCACTTCAGGCTTCAATACCTAGATTCAGAAAATGAGCACTGGCTGCTGTTTGTTGGTTGACTTAATTCATATTCTTTAATAAATATATCTTTCCCAAGATACGTACAGCTCCTTAAGGCCAAATTATTTAATGAGCATTTGTCCCAGCTGTGATTGATACTGAGCTGTTCATTATTATGATAAGCACAACAAAAGCTCGTTAAGCTTTTTCACTAATTTGCTCTTTCTTCTCTTAGATTAAAACAGTTTCTAGATCACATAATTCAGTCTAACATAGCTTATTATTTCATTTACATTAGTGTGACTTCAATTCTATTAATTAAATCATAATTAGCATAATTTCTCAGCTAAGCAGATGTTTTAGGTATTTATGTATACGTTTAAATGTATAAGATCTTCTGCCTTTGAGATTCTTCTGTTCTGGAATTGAAGGTTAGCTGGGCCAGAAGGCTTTAGAGAAACTGTAGTTGATGAGTAAAGCTGAAAGAATGTGGTAGCTGTTGCAACCCATTTGCTTATCTGAATTCCTAGTGATTGCTTGCTTATTGTGCTATGAAATCTATTGTGTAAATAAGTTTACTAATTAGTAAACAAGACAAGTACCAACTTCTGTGTGATGGCTGTGTTACTGTTTGTCCATTTTCCTCACCACTGATTTATTTTGTGGATTCAAACAGAGCATAAACTTTGGGTATAGAAGAATAATTTCTATTTCAGCCGTAGGTTTTTAGTAGTGCTGATAAATATTCATGATTTTCTTCAGTAATGTTGGAAACAGACCAATTTCGTCAAGCATTGATTTCCAGCAGATTCTGTAGAAGTGTCTCACCAAATTAATTATCAAATGGATAATAAATGGATGGAATTCACTAAAAAGAAAGCTTCAGCTTCACTGATCTTTTCTCACACTTGATGATCTTTGCAGGTAAATGAAATTGCTTTTATAAACACCTTGGAAGCTCAGAACAAACGCCATGATGTGCTGAATAAATTAAAAGAATATGAACAGCGCTTAAATGAATTGCAAGAAGAGCGTCAACGAAGGCAAGAGGAAAAGCAAGCGCGTGATGAAGCTGTTCAGGTACAAGATATCTGTAATTGCAGGGTGGCAATGAAATATATGTTTTTGACTGTGCAGTTTTTTGTTGCTTTCTGTCTTAAATTTTTAGTTCAAGTGAGTGTAGTCTAATGTGTTTCCCCTGCCATGTTTCAGCACCAAGAGAGGAATCTAAGTATGGCTGAGGTTATAGAGAGTCACGGAATAGTTTGTATTGGAAGGGACCTTCAAGATGATGTGATGTGATACTGACCTCAATTGGTCAGATGCTTTTTTTGAGACAGAAGGTGCCCCAGAATTGCTAGGTAACATTTTTTTAAGAGAATCTATTACTAAAAGTTCCTGGATTTCTAAAGATTCCATTATTGGAGAAATGTACCTTTCCAGATCATTTATGAAAAGGCCTGACCCTAGTGACATGGGTTTTTGTAGTTAATTACACTCGTTATTCTAGAATTGAGCTTTCTTGGAGTCACATTATGGGATTGGCCCCTCACTGCAAAAAAGACATTGAGGCCCTGGAGCGTGTCAGAGAAGGGCAACAAAACTGGTGAGGGGTCTGGAGCACAAACCTTATGAGGAGTGGCTGAGGGAGCTGGGATTGTTCAGTCTGGAGGAGGCTCAGGGGAGACCTCATGGCACTCTGCAGCTTCCTGAAGGGAGGTTGTGGTGAGGAGGGGTTTGGCTTCTTCTCCCAGGCAACAAGCAGGACCCAAGGAAATGGCCAGATGTTGTACCAGATTTAAATATCAGTATTTTGTGGGAGTATATTTTGGTTCTGTAGCATGTTTATCCTTTTAGAGATTCAACATGCTTTATTCTCATTGATCATTTTGTTGAACTTATGGTTGTTCATCCTCCTCAGGATGAGCAAAATTGTGGCTGAGTTCACACAGTTGTGCGTTCAATTTTCTGTTCAGTCTCTTGAATATACGCATCAGTCCTTCATCTAACAGAAGTGCGTGAGGGAGTAACATTATGAAAGCAAGGAAGAATTCTATGAAGGAATTTTTTTTTTTTTTCCTAAAAGAGGAGTCAGAATTTATTTTTCTTCAACTAGGAGCGCAAAAGAGCTCTGGAAGCAGAACGCCAAGCTCGGGTTGAAGAGTTGCTGTTGAAAAGGAAAGAACAAGAAGCACGGATTGAACAGCAGAGGCAAGAGAAAGAGAAAGCACGGGAAGATGCAGCACGGGAAAGGGCCAGGTAACTTTGCCACATTTTTCTTGTTTCCTCTACTTCATCATTATCCTTTCAGGCAGACTGCATCTTCTGTGTATTAATAAGTGTCTTCTGGCTTAGTATTTTTAAAGTAGCATTAATAAATGTTCTTGATGAATGGTTTGAAAGAACAAAATTCACAAGTTCTGTAATAGATTTTTGTATTCCTTAGGTACACGCATGCTGCAACGTGCAATGCTGTATTTTATTATATATTGTTAGCATTACTTCATCTTACTTTTATTGCTAACAAGACCTTTTAATAATTTGCCTTTTTTATATTTTAGCTTAGTTTTCAAAGGAAGCAAGATTAATATCTCTGCGTTCGCTATTTCCTTTGCTCTCCAGTAACTTTTGGACTTACTGGCATCAATTTGACTTCACCTTTTTTGTAGACACCAGAGACTTCATTTGTGAAGCACAAAGCCGGGAAACCAGGCTTAATTAATTCCACTGCCTGTGAAGTACTTGTTTTATGTTTTTGCCCATGAACAGAAGTTCATAAAGGGGTTTTCAGGTGGGCTTTTCTCTCTCTTTCATTTGCGACAAAGTGTAGAGCAAAGAGAATAAAGTATTGAAAGTACACCCTTGGGTGTAGGGTGTGACACTGTGGTGTGTGAGGAAGGTTTGCTTACAAGTCTGATTCAGAAAAAGCTTCTTTCTTTTTGTTGTTTTATTTGCCTAGTTCTGTTTGGATTCACTTCCTTATATTCACTTTTTCCCTATGGTTCCATTACCACAAGCGTTCCATAAAATCTAAACAGAAGTATTCTTTTGGCATGAAGCATTCAATGGTGGTGGCTTAAACATTCTGATTGTGTGAGCTTGTTTTATAGGAAGTCAACCTGAATTATTTTTCTTCTCCAAATAAAATATTCTGAAATGGAAGAAAGTGATCAATGCACATTCAAAAATCACGGGCAATTCTAGCTTGACATCATGGAGAGTTCATTTTCAGTGGGATGTTCAGATATAACAGTGGGTTGGATCCGTGGCCTTGCTCAGGACTTCATGGACTTCTCCTGAATGTTTTGACTTGCAGTCACAGTGAGAGCAAGAGGGAAGGCCTCAGTCAGCATCTGACTCTCTTGAGGTAGATGAGGGCTGGCAGAGAGGATTGTGCTATTTTGAGATGACAATGTGTGCACGTGTGAAACTTCCACATCTTTCTGATATTGTATGCCCTCTTCTACCACAGCCATCTGTCTGTGTGGCTGTTGAGGTAATATTGTAATATGTTGAGGAATACCTGTGAGCTTATCTGGAAAAAACAAAGTGGTTTTCTTGAAAGCTGGAAAATTGAGGAACAGAACTTCAATATTTTACACAGATAAAAGGCTGTGATGTGGTTGTAGTTTATTTAACGTGGTGAACAGGAGGCAGTTGATCAGGGATTATTCTTATCATCACAGCAGGCAGTTCTTACAAGGCCCAAGACATTTTTACGTCTCTTTCCAGAGGGTGGATGACTTCTGGGATTTGAAATAGGTGTTAAATAACTTGGGGAAAAAGGTATTTAAAACATTCTCTGCCTTCTGTGGTACTCTACAATCCTGTATTCTTCTTATTTAATCAGTTTTAGAATTGCTTCTTGCCTTTATTGCCCCGTATTTCTTTCATTATGATGAGAAGACTTGCGGCTTCCATTTGCCCTCTGTTAGCACTATTTCAGCAAATTTCCTCTTATTTGATTCTGTAACGCTCAGTTTTCAGTTGCTTTGTATTTGATACTGTGGTAAGTGCTTGCAGTTCTTTGACAGGTGCTGGTTAAATGAAATAGATGGGGTTTCCCCTCCTTTTCTCTCTTCTTTATTCTTCCGTTTCTGAGTGAGTAGGAAAGACTGTGTACATGGTGCCTTGCAACCTGGCATTCTGTTACCTCTGGCCTCAATCTTGTCTCTTTATTAAGAGTTCTGAGGTTTCCCTAACACAGCAGAGCAGGATGCAAAGTGTTGTGGTTGAAAAGCTGAGTGAGAGATGAGTTTGACAGCAAACTCTCTGCACTGCCCCTTCTGTCTTTGCCTTCAGCTTGATCAGGTTCTGCTAGGATTTGACTCAGCCCAAAGGCAGGATGCTTCCTTCAGTTAGTCATTTTTGGAATACCTTCTTAAAGCTTCTTCAGTGTAGGCTTTATGTGTATGTGCTTCTGGTGGTGGTTAAAGCACGTGTATGAAAGGGTTAGTGTGTTCAGAACTGACTTTAAAACCCCTCTGCCCTTGTGATATGTTAATGTTCCAGTAAAGTTTTAGATGTAATTTCTGTGGATTTTATATTCCAGAGAATTATAATCCTTTATATGGAAAATTTTGTTCTTATCAATAGAAATCATAAAACAACTGTAAAATGTAACCTAATAATGTAAAAAGTATGCATTTCAGGAGGGCCTAAAGAGGGATAACATTGATGCTTTGTAAATGGGAACTTGAGAGTTTTGTTTTAAACACTGTTAATCCACATATGCAGCGATATTGATTTGTCCTAGCCTGTGGGATTAAACAAGTATTTTAAAATGTAGACTGAAAGATGTAACTACAGATTTGGATTGTGTTATGATAGTTAGGATTTGTTTCAGCTCATGGTGCAAGTCAGAAGTTTTTCTTTTTTAAAGCAAAATCAAAGACTAGCTCAGTCTTTCTGTGAATTCTCTGGGAAACAGCACATGAAGTTTATAATGCTTCTAATCCATCGTGTCTTTCTCACTTTCCTGCCTCTGTCCATGGCATTTGAAAGAGTTTGCTTATTTCTGAATGACCAAATATTCTTAATGTTTATTGTTAATCTTGTTTCCTGTCCTGTTGTCTCTCCTGTCTGCTTTTATACTTGCTGTGACTTTTCAAAAAGTGATATTATCTGAGCCTTCTATTTTATTTCTACTGTGGTTACTTTGCTTTTATTGCTTTCTTCAGTAGGCTGCTGCTCAGGGGATTCCCTTTGCATCTTCTGTTAATCTTGGGTTTTATTTATGACTTTAAATGAAATCTCATTTTCCTGTACATATATCAGATCTCCACCAGCAATAGATGTGGTACTGTTGGGATCTTTCATAGTAGCTGCCAGTGGCAAAGACTGAGAAGGAGCATTAACTGATCTTTAAGGCATGATTCCATTATTGGGAGAGGGTTGTAGACACAGTAAACAAGAATAGTTCCTGCCTCTTCAGTTTTGTGCAGAAAGCAATATTAAAGTAAATGCTTAATTGTTTTGCTGTCCTTTGGCAACTTGAAAATTGAGAATTGTGACTTTTTAGAGCATCGGTTTATCACTTGTCACTTGTAACTGGTATCGTTTGTTGGTGGTCAGAGTTTTATCTGTGTCTTTAAATATTCACTATGAAATGTAATTCCCTTATTGCTTCATGGTTTTACTTTGGTTTGCCGTTGTACTCCTTCCCTGTGGTTCAGTGAAAATGGTCGCTGACTGCAGAATGTTAATGGAGGCAAAGCATGGCATTGTCATTATTTTTCAGCCTCAGTATGATACTAAAAGTTTCCCTCTGCATTTATCATCTTCTTGTTAGAGATCGAGAAGAGAGATTGGCAGCTCTAACTGCAGCTCAACAAGAAGCTATGGAAGAACTGCAGAAAAAGATTCAGCTGAAGGTAAAAATAAAAACTAAAGAAAATACTTTAGTTGAAAAAATACATTAGCAATACAGGAATTCTCTAGAATAAGTTCTGTATCTGTTTTATTTAGTGAAGATATTACAGTATGTTAAAATGTGTCCTAAGCTACTTTTTTTTTCACCTCAGTCTCTGATTTTAAGTAATACTTACACGTTTGTTCTATTTCCATGCAAGTTAAGTGTGAAACCCTTGAAAGAATCCAGTGAGCTGTACCTGCATAGCAGATGCTAAAGTTTCTGGTGTGTGGTGACTTCTGATGCCTTACAGGAAAAAAAAAAGTTTCAGTTTATTCAGTTTAACATACATTCATCCTAGCTGTGCAAACTTCAGTAATTCTCAGTATTTCTATACCATTTACTTCATATCCTTTTTTTTTCCCTTTGCTTTTGTTACCTTGCATTCAGCATGATGAAAGTATTAGAAGGCACATGGAACAAATTGAACAACGAAAAGAGAAAGCAGCTGAATTGAGTAGTGGAAGACATGCTAATACTGATTATGCACCGAAACTCACACCGTATGAGCGCAAAAAGCAGTGCTCGTTATGCAATGTGATGGTAAGTCAGAGGCTGCTGTCAGAGTTGCAAGGCCAGCCTGAGTCTGGCAGCTACGAATGGAGTTTCATTCCCAGATAAGAGCACTGTGTGTGCGCTGTGTCCTGGTGCGTTTGTGAAGTGCGCCTTAGTTCAGCTTTTTCTGTCTATGAACAGGGTGGTTTACAGATTTGGAGTACCTGTAGAATCAGAGGTGTGATGGTGTGGACTGTACTCAGTTGGTAGCTCTGTCTTTTATTAAAAAAAACTGAGGGATCATCAAATGAAGCTAGATAAAAATATCTAGATGTGAAGTAAAGAATGAGGTTCTTTACGTAGCTGTTTGCTGAGTTGTGAAATCCTTCATATAATATCCTGCAGATACTTGATTTTAATATGTATTCAAGGGATGACTGGACAACTTTCATTGGACTGAAATTCCCTGAAGGTTACTGCCTACAGAGAAAACACAGTGAGCCCAGGAAGTTCTCAAACTGAGTTTAGTTGGAGGCTTTTAGTGTTGAGGGAACAATCAATATTGTTTTACTTTCCATTGAACATCTATTTTCTCGTCATATCAGAAGCCAGGTTTTGGCTTGGCAGATCTTCACTCTCAACAGGTTATCTCTTCTTGTGTGTACCATTCTATGTGCCAGAGGAGTGCTAGAGAAGAGGGAGCCATACAATCACTGAGTAGGAAACAGGGAGGTCAGTTCTTGTTAATTGCTTTCATTGACTTGAATCACTGTGCAAAGCCTTCTGTCCCACATTATATTAAAATGTGGAGGTTGGCAGCTTTGTCTGTGGCAGTGGGGTTGGAGCCTTGGCAATCCTTGAGGTCCCTTCCAGCCCAAGCCATTCTGTGATTCTCTCATTTTATGATTATTCTTCATTCATTAATTTAAGAGTGCATAGGACCACTTCAGGTAGTACTGGAACAGAAACCCTTGGTTCAGCAGGCTGGACTCCTACATGTTCATTCATGTCTTTCAGAATGTAAGTTTTATTAATTGGTGAAATTAGAGTAAAGTGAGAATGAGATGAGAAGCCAGCATATTTTAACATATTCCTCTGCTGGCTAGCAAATCATTGTGTAATTTGCTCTAAAGATCTGCACGAAAGATGTTCATGCAAACCTAGGTTGAGGGATTAAGTTCTGTGCTTGAGATATGAAAGTGAAAAACCACTGCATATATATTCTTTGAAATCTGCTCTGTGTGCCACGCAATCAGCATTCAAGAGGCAGCATTTGTGTCACCAAAGCTATCCTTGTGGTCACATAGGCAGCTGCACCAGCCTTTGAGTAGGGATGAGTTAGCATGAAGAACGCTGGGTGGTTTGGGGTTTTGATCAGTAACACAGCTGTGGAAATAGTCTGCTGAAACAATATCCTAAAATATTCTTTAAAAAATGGGGGGGAGGAAAAAAGCCACCTTTTTTTTTTTTTTTCCCCATGATCAATATCCCTTCACTTTGTGTTGATGACAGAGTATTGCTCTCTTGTCAGGTAAGTGTTTTCAGGTAATCTTCAGTTGCAGTTAACAGTACATTCCTCTGTAGTTACCCTTGTGATGTTAAACATGTCTGTGAAATTGTATGTGACAGAAGCACAAATGCTCTTTTGAGTAAAAGTAAACACAATGGTAATGATGTTAGTGCTGTTTACAGTAACTGATGTTACTTTATTAGGTGACAGATTCTGAACTTCTGAGAAACTGGCATATGTTATATTAAAAATAGTGTTATTTCTATGTTAACTATTGATTATCAAGGGTAAAAAGTAACTGATAACTCACTGTCATTGCAGATTTCATCAGAAGTGTACCTTTTTAGCCACATTAAAGGGAAAAAACACCAACAAGCTGTGAGAGAGAACAGCAGCATACAAGGACGAGAGCTTTCAGATGAAGAAGTGGTATGTTGTTTGTTTTATTTCAATAACCTTTTCTATTTTGATTTCCTTTTCTTATCCTGAGAAAGTCTTGAAGATTCCTGGAAGTGAAAGGAACCAAAGATATTTGTATTAGCATGGGAATATCAGTGCCTTTTTGAGTACAGAAATCTTGTGGAAAGAATGAAAGAAGCCAGGGCTTCAGATACACAAGGCAATTTGAGGTTGTGTATAAAAATGTGACTAATTGCTCTCCTGCTCATCCAGAGGTGTTCTTCCTATCATCATATTTGTGTTCCATGAGTTTTAATTTTCTCTCCTTTTTATACTTTCCAATTAATAAGCATTCTTCACTGCTTTTATTAAAGGCTACTTCTGCATATCTGTAAAATAGCTTCCCCACAGGGATGATCCTTCAATATATTTAGAATGGACAAATAAAATTCCCCTTTTAAACTCTAATGTTATTTTTAATTATCTCACTTTAGCAGCTTTGGCAATCCCTTAGTTATTCCTTTATCTCTTGCTTCTTCCAAGTAGCTTTTGATGAAGAGCTGAAGAGTCTTGCAGCATCTTTTTGCAGCAGCTTTCCATCCAAAGCTATTCAGATGTTAGTGCTCAGTAATCCTGATGTTTCTTTCCTTCGTGGTTCTTGTTACTGTGGTTATTGGTTGAACTATTCTTTTTACAGCTCATCATTGCCACAGATACTGTCTGTCCCTTTGTAAAAAGCTCTGGTGAGTTAAGTCATTGAGGTACTCCAGTCCCCAGAAGCGTCTGTCACTGGAAGATGCAACGTTTCTGCTGAGTTGCCCTTTCCAAACTGCAACAAAAATATGCTGTTTCTTGTCTCTTTCTTTTCTGCTCTCTTTAGTGGCCAGTGGGAGTTGTTTAGAATTTGATTTTAAATAGCGGGTTGCTGTAGCTCCATAGAAGGGAGAAGCCTTCATACTGCATCCGGATACTTAGAAATACATGTGAGCTGTGAGACTTCCTGGAATTCCATCACATCGCTACATGCACCAAAGAGTGGGCAGTCTGTAGCACTGAGTTTCCATTCATCTTTTTAGCCTTTATTTGCTTCTAGCTAGCCGCAGCTGATTGGTTCTTGCTGTGCCACTGCCTCAGAGCAATATGGAGGAAAGAAGTGAACTAGATGTTGTTTGGTCTGAGAGTAGTTACACACTGTGCACGACATTTGGTTGGTGGCTTAACACCTGTGTCCTCCAGAAAGGGGGATTGCAGTGTAAGCTGTTTTTGTGCCCCAGCTGGAGAAAAAGAAATTCCACTAGAGGGCACAGATATCTTGGTTTTATTGTGTCCAGCATCACGTGCTTAAATCCCCTGCTATTCATCAAAACATTGGATTGGAGTGTGAGCTTAAGATCAGGGTTAAATACATGGGATTTCTTGAGTTAGTCCAGAAGGAAGAGGGAGTATGTACTGTAACTGAACAACACAGTGGTTACAAAAGCAGATTTAAGTATTCTTAATTGAGGTGATGTGTAATATTTGATGTACTGGCAATTTAACAATATGTCATGCTACAGTATTTTTATCTGTATTTTAAATAGCCCAAGTATAAAATTCTAAGCTGTGCTATTGTAATCTGAAGTCTCCTTGGCCTGAGGCCCCACTCCGGTTTTGTCTTTTTAGAGAGCAGCAGTGGATACATGTACTAGGTGCCTGGTTACAGTGAACAGAAATACCACTTATGTATGAAAGCAGTCTACTTTGTGTACCTTTCTATTCAGTGTGGGCAGTTAATGCCAAACATTGCCTTACCCCATAAGAAATGCGTTCAGTAACTTCAGGTAAGTTCAGGAGTACCTGAGAGCAGACGTGCAGAATGTCGTGTAGAAGTGGAGCTGTAGACCAGAGAAGCACTGCAGTATCTTCAGTTATTCATCACTGTTTTCAATTTTTTAATCAGCGAAGATATCTGCAGTGAGAACACACTTGTACTACTTAAAGTTATTACTTGTCATCTGTGATGCCTTTAGATTATATACATCTCATCTGCGACCCTTCTTCTTTGACATAAAAGATTTTATTTATATCACCTCTGACCTAATAAAATTTCACCTTTAACCTTATGCACTTGACACCTCAGATAAGTTGCTCTTGATCTTTGACTCATTTTGTTTTAAGCTTGTTAAGTGTAATAGGTAGCTGTCTAGAAAGAAATCTTTTTTCTTTTTTTTAAATTGCAATCTAGCCATAGAATTTCTTTGTTATTAATTGAGAAATCACAGAAGAAATTTAAATGTATCAGCATTACAGAAGGTAAGACTTAAGGAGATCCTTCAGACTTTGTGTGTTGTATAATATGCTTTCATACAGTGAGGATTTTTATTTAGTTGATTTGACTGTAAGCAAAAAGCTAGAAGCTGCATCACATAAGCACTGACATGATTTCTGTGTGCTGGGTGCTCGTTGAATATAAAAAGAAATAATTACTCTAGATTTTGCTCTAATATCTGTAGGTTCTATAACATCTTCAGAGAAAATTTTTTCTTTCCGTTGTTCTGGAATTAAACATATATTGTGCAGTTGCTGACAGGTAGTATTGGACTTCTAATGAAGAAGATGAATTCACTTGTAAAGGTGATTATGTGGTGAAACTTGAAAAGGAAAGTTTTGTTATGAATAAAGGTACTAAAAACATGAAGTTATTTCTGAGATAGCATGACAGCTTTGTTTCATCTCCAACTTTTGGATTTTCCTTTTAGGAGGATTCGTCATCATCAGTTTGAAACTGAAAAGAGTGTAGATTCCTCTTAGAGTAAATTCTATTGCTTTTGAAAACCTGGTTATCATATGAAAGCAAATTAAGCTCTGTTCACTTTTTTTTTTTGCTTCTTTTTAACTCCTCTTTTGTTCAGTCTCATATGAATATGGTTATTAGCATAGATGGCAAAGCTCTTCCAACAGGGTGGGTTTTGTCTTTCCTTTGCCACGTTTCAGAAATGTGCAATGCTATCTTTGTCCCATGCCATTTCACTGGGATCTTCAGTGCATTACAGTGTCCTGTGTTCCCTCTCTATGGAGATTGTGCCTGCTGATGAAGTGCAGTTTTTCTTCCATCAAGCCTACAGCTTTAACTTCTTTCCATGTTGCTATTTTCTGTGCTATTGATTTCCTGTCCCCTGCCTTAACATTCATATTGCTTTCAGTTCAGCAAAGCAGGTAAACGAAGCATGCCATTTGGTTTCAGTGTCACTGGAACTGATCAGTCAGCTTGAAGTTATGACTTCTTTTGCTGAATCAGAGCCGATGTGCTAAAAGGACTTTTCATATAGAGGCCACTGACGTGACCAAAGCAGTGCCCATGGAAATGCCCTAAGGCAGCATACGCTGATCTCTGAGATCTCTACAGGGACTTTCTATGTTTTTCCTCTCACCTGTAGCTCTGGGGATGTTTTGGTTTTGTTCCTCTGCTTTCTATTTTTTTTCTTGTTTGTCTGGTCTTCGTTTGCTTTGAGAATTATACGTTATAATCCCAGCTTCCTTCTTTCAACTTGTCCTGTCTCATACGGCATTTCAAATAGTGTTGAAGAAAGGGATGTGTGGAGTATAAACCATGTAATTCCATGCCATCTATGAATGCTTCTAGTCCATGAAAGGTACTCCTGAAAAAACATATGGAATGAGTACCTTGGCAGGAGAGGGAGTTGGTTAATATATATATAAAGTACGTACTCGTGTGTTCCAAAAAAAGATGGAGGAATATTAACAGCCCTTTGTTTGCAAATGTGAAGAATGTTTTTTTAATCAGGGAAGGAAGCAGGCTGTTCGGTCATAATCTAAATGAAATAACTTCTTAGGGATATAAATGAGAACACAATCTGGTGATGGAGAGAAGCAGTTCCTGTTGTCTGAAGATTGACAGTGTTAAAATGTGAGGATTTATAGAAAGACATGGTTGATTAAGGCCACCCACATTCCCTTTAAGAAAAAATCAGATGGACAACCAGTAGCTCCATCTGTCATGTGGGTTGTCAAGTTGGCTGGGGTTGCAGTGCAAGCATTTCTGGTGCAAGCCTAGATTGTAGAGGGCTCTGATTTACAGTGTGCATAGCTGTGCTGGCAAGTTCCCCTGGTACAGACGCTATTACCCTGGCAGGATTGCTCTTTTGCCAGGATGTGGTGAGAGGCTGCCTGGAAAAGCAGAGCTGTGCTGCTACAAATTCTGTTCTATCCTTGTAAGGTTTATGGCCTGTGCAGCACACAGGAGAAGCTGATGTTCTTAGGAATTGTAAGAAGTGTAGGAGTGGTGGATGCTTTCCTTTAAAAAGTCAAACCGCTTTCTCAAAATTCCATGCTGTTTCCATTATTTTTTTTACTGAGGAAATTAAGAAGTATTTTATACTGAGGAAATAATTAAAAGAAGCGTGGCAATGTTTTCATATCTGATGTGTTCTCATTTTCTTTTTTATTTACAAGTTTTCTTGTTCAGAGAGTTGGTGATACCTGTGTTGTACTGCTTATCAGTTGTGACCATTGCTATGCAAGGAAGCAGTTTTGACTCAGAGCTCGTGTTTTGTAACACTTAAATCATTTCTGCTAGATAGTTTGGTCAATATTCCTGTTTCTTTTACCCCCACAGACACCGTTATAAATTCACTTTCTTGGCATCTGATTATAATTAACCAACTACCATTTACTATTTTGTTTTACTTGAGAGGGTAAAATTATGCATAGCTTCAGTGCTTTGTGTTATGTTAAATGTAAGGCTGCTTGCACTAAACTGTTGGGGAGCAGTACTCTTCAAAATGGATTTGTAATCACACATAGTAGAGAATAGCAGCAGGTGTGAGCTTTGAACAGCCCCATGCATGGGGTGCTGTTGCATTTAGCCCAGACAAGATATTTGCAAAGCAAAGCAAAAAGAAATTTGTCATGCAAAGATGACAGGAGCCCATCTGTTTTTTTTCCTCTGCTTCTCAGTTTTTCTCTCCTCTATTTTGTTTCCTCTCTCAAGGAAGGGACGATTTTTAGAGGACTTTGTGTAGCACAGGAAT